AGAGGGAAGTGCATGAACGAGACGAAGAGGACGACGACCCAGAAGGCAGAAAGTAATTTGACAAGAAGAAAAAACGGGGAGCTTGCTCTGTTTCGGGCAAAGGAACGGGAGAGAATATAAAACAAGAGGCTTCCCCCTTCTACTTCTATCTGGGTTCTCTCTGATCAAGATTCCACTGCCCTCCTCTTTTCCCTTTTTCCAACTTCTCCTTTAAATTTTCATTTGCCCCTTTTTATCTATTTTGCTTCTAAGCGCTTGCTGCAAATCGCAGAGGAGTGCGAGTAGCTAATGGCGGAGAATTTGACCATTTCTTCCGACGCAAAAAGAAAAGAAAGAAAAGGGAAGGAAGCCTTGGCCACCCACGACCACGAGTGAGGTGAGGCTCTTCTGTTGTTGTCCCCCACTTTTACCAGGAAATGTTTTGGTCTTGACTGGAGAAAAATATCGTTAGTTCTCTCGAAGGATACTGCCGTCCGAATCTCGTTCTCTCTTTCGAACGTAAAAAGTTCTTGGGACAAGCAAGATATTTTGCTTTAGACTGTTTCCGTTCTTGATAATCAAAACAAAAACAGGACTCGTCTTTGTGTGTATATGTATCTTTCCATTTATGCGAGTCATATGTAAGTTTTTGGGGGCAGAAAATAGAATTTCATATATTAACATGGTATGATTATCTCGGGGTTTGCTTATTCTTAATTGCGATAAATTTAAGAAAGAGGGAAGGTCCGTGCTTATATTTTTTTGCATATTTTATAGTGATTTTTTGTTATTTAATCTTAAATATGATCGAAATCTCGAATTCCGAAAGAAAAATGAAAAAATCACTCCTATGTGGGCATGATTGCATGAATGGGGAGTGGTTTTCACTTTGGTTGGATTGATGCTAAATGACCGTTGGCAATAGTTTGTCCAACGTTAATTTGCCTTCTTCTTTTTTTGGTCCAAAACGTTAATTTGCCTTACACTCAATCACTTGGGTTCCCTCAAATTCTCAGGAAAAAAAAATTCACTTCTTTTCCCCAGTTGAATTGACTTTTTGTTATTCGACCAAAAACGAAAAGAAATGCTTTTTTATTTTGACCAAAAGAAAAGGAAATGCCTTTTCCACTCGAGAGCATAAATTTGTGCAAAAATTTAAATAGCCTATCTAATTTTTTGTCAAAAGCATCCTCTACTCTTTTGAAAGCGCCACCGGTCATCTTCAGCTGTTGGGGGTGTTAATGCCGTTGAAAATTGCCGACATTGGCATTAAAATTTTGGTAACCTGAAGTCATTTTCTTCTTCTTTGAAAATCTCCCTCCGATTGACCCAAACTTATTCTTCCTCTTCTTATTCCCCATGGTCTTCATCCTTCCTCTCGAATCTCCGGCCACTCGTCACGGAGCGAGCACGACTATAACATATTTTGAGCGGCCATGGCCCCTCGAGCTCTAACCACACGGCCGCAATTGATGCTCGAGCTTTTAGGATCATGTGCCTGAGCTTTAAGGCCGCAACCATGACCGTTCAAGCTTTGGGCTCACAGGCATGACTGTGCTCTTTCTCTTCCTTTACGGTCATGGCTACTCGAGCTTCGACAACTCACAACCATGGACACCCGAGCTCAAAGCGGCATTGCAAGATGGCGGCCAACGTTGCCGTCGTCGGCAGGGCTATGGTTTTGTTTTTTTTTAATTATTTTATTTTTTCTATTACTTAATGCATATTTAAGAAGTTTAGGGTTTTCTAATTATATTCTACTCATTTAATTCACGTAGGGGGTTAATACCACGAAAAACCCCAAACTGGTACACTTGTAACAAATTTACCCCAAACTATTTTTTTGACCACAAAAAACCCCAAACTTGTACACTTGTGACAATTTTATCCGGAATTATTTTTTTGACCATCAAAAACCCCACACTAGTACATCTGTGACAATTTTACCCCCGAACTAATTTTTTTACCACCAAAAACCCCAAACTGGTACACCTGTGACAAATTTACCATTTGTTAGTTTCCGTTAAATTTTACTGTCAAATTGTTAAGTTTAATGACACGTGGTAATTGACAGGTGTACTGGTTTTGGGTTTTACCCCACTGTTTGTCACAAGTTTACCAATTTGTGATTTTTCGTGATATTAATCCAATTTAACGGACACTAACGGAGGGTAAATTTATCACAAATGTACCAGTTTGGGGTTTTTAGTGGTCAAAAAATTAGTTCGAGGGTAAAATTGTCACATGTGTACAAGTGTAGGGTTTTTGGTGGTCAAAAAAATAGCTCGGGATAAAATTTTCACAGGTGTACCAGTTTGGGGTTTTTTGTGGTCAAAAAAATAGTTTAGGGTAAATCTGTCACAGGTATACCAGTTTGGGGTTTTTTGTGGTCCAAAAAATAGCTCGGCGTAAAATTATCACAGATATACCAGTTTATGATTTTTCGTGGTATTAGCCCTTCACGCAGGTCGAGGTTGGTGGAGCCAGGTTTGGCTTATCCTATCTACGTTGATCGTGACAAGCCAGGACGGACTACCTTTGGCCATTGCTAATGGAGCCCATCTTATCAGCGCGCCAAGAGAGAAAGAGAACGGGGCTAACTAGTGATCGTCGATGTGGTTGTTGTGCTAGCTTGGAGTGGGACGAGGGTGGTGGCATCACCGGTGGCCGAGACAGTAGAGGTAGGTTTTCAATGGTCACTTAGGGAAGAAATAATACTGAAAAAATGAAAGTTGAATTTTCCTCTCGCTCAAAATAGGCAAGAGCTAATCAAATAATCAAAGGATTTGATTACGCTATTTCGACAGATTGCGAAGCTTAGATCGAACCATTTTGAAAATGTTGCACCTCGGTTATACTTTACTCATCAAGTTTTAGGAATTCACATGGAATTAGAAGAAACCAAATCAATCAAATAATTAAGATTACGAACACGAGCCGGACCTAACTTCTTTTGGGAGGGCCATAGAATCGATCGGCCTCTGGGCGTCCCCGTCCCGCGAGGGGTTCACTCGTTACGACCGGTGCAAATAAGGACGGCGCGGATTCCCCCTCGCGACCATTGAAAAAGAAGAAGAAAGTTAGAATCGATGGGCCAGTTCTTGTCCTTGGTAAGAACACGGCCAAAAAGGCCAAGCAATCGAGACCAGGACAAAGACAGAGAGAGAGAAAACATCTTGGAGATGATGCAGAGAACTGCCCGCGGGCAGACATTTCGTGCATTTCGTATCACCAAAAGGCTCAAGCTCGGCCAGCTACCTGTCAAACCCAGGTTTCTCTATGCGTATTTTTCTTAGATGAACGAGAGCTTCGATGACATGGTCGACCCGCCTCTCTCCCCCAAGGAATCTTCTGCGTAATATTCCGTCCCCACAAATCGAAAATTAATCCGGCAACCTTTGATAGGGATGGCTTTGGACTTTCCCCCTCCTAATGCAACATCCAAGCTTCGATTGCCCCCCAATCCCTTTCTGCAATTTTAAGGATTGGACCGTTTGGACGTGATTCGATCACGCACGGCACCACGACGCGAGACGTGAATGTTTGAGAGAACATCGAATACATGGAGCGGCGCGGCTTGTTTAGCTCGAGAGTTGCAGGACGATACACGCGCTCGCAGATGCTGATTTATTGCCATGTCGGGCGATTTTTTTTCCATGGTATGAAATGAACTCAATATGAGAAGCTGTAGCAAGTTATCATATATTGATATTTTAGATGCGTATAGCTTTTAGATCGGGACTTGACATCCTAGTAATGAAAACTCGAGCATTAAGAATCGGGGAACTGGGTCATAAGTAACATCACACAACCCTCGCGGTACGTCCTCGATGTGGGACTTTTGATGAGGGCGACTTACGATTACCCCTTTAGTCTTCGGTTATCTCGGGTTGATGTAACACTTTCATTCGACTTGTGCCAATGAATCCGGAGGAGGAATCGTGTGGGCATAGGCAAAGTCACCCTTGAAGAATACGTCACACGAGCAATGGGGTCCATCAACATTGTAAATGAGCCACACCTTGCAATAAAAATACAAAGTAAAACTTTCAATCAAAGATGAAGTCGGGTCTTGCCCTAGCATCTTAGCCAAAGATGGGACGTTTACGATGTAGTTGGGCTTATCTCTCTTAGGGTTTGATCTTGAACCTAGTTCGACGATACGTACAATTGGGCTACAGAAATTTCACAAGTTCTACCTTTGTTCCAGCGCCAAGCCCACCTAATGCTTTGTTCCACTCCTCTCCCATTTCTTGCAAGAATTTTAGAGACTTTTGCTCATTTGTACCCTCAAATTTCCACTCTCCCTATTATTTTTTTTTACCATTTCCCAACATTGCATGAATTGGGCGGGTCGACAAACTTTTGGTGGGGCTGAAATTGGAGAGCAGATCAAACTTTGAGGGTGGGCAAAATCAAAGAAAAAGGAGTTTTTTTCTTTTTGTGAATATATTAATTCTATTCTTTTTTTCTTCTCGGTGAATAAAATAGTTCGGGATAGAAGGCGAAATGATGTAATAAAAAGAAAAGGAAATTGCTCCCGATCCCTAAAATTTGGTCTCGTCGCCCGACAAGCCTTCAAACTTCAAAGAGTTCTAGATTGTCTCTTGGACTTTGGTATTTTCGGCGTCGTTGCATTATAGCTCGCAAATTTTAAGATGTTATAAATTACTATATCAAACTTTAAATTATCTTATAACCTTAGTTTTTTCCTTATACATAGTCATTAAGTTGCCTGAAAATAGAACATTTCATGTCTCTTGATCGAAATATCCTTCGTTAAAATTTATTAACTTCATTAAACATGTAATACTCTCTATTTTCTCAATTTCATTACAGACGGAAAAATCAACGGCCACAGTGAAAATCAAAAAATTGAGGGGGGTAAACTGGAACTTTTCAAAGTTCACGGGCCATAGCGAAACGCTTGCAAATGTCTAGGGGACTGATCTATGATTTTTCCAAAGTTGAGGGGGGATTTTGTAAAATTTCCCCAGAAAAGGGCATTCCCCGGAATCCCCTCCTCCTCCTCCTTCGCCTCCTCCTCCGTGGGCGGCGGTGCTGCAGAGATGGTGGAAGAAGAATCGAGCGTGACCACCGGCGCTGCTCAAGAAGAATGCTGCAGCAGCGCCTCCATTGCTCGAGGCGGGCCCCTCTTCGTCCCCAACTTCATCGGCCCTCTCACTCGCGCCCCCGAGTTCGAAGCTTCTCTCCTCCGCGAGCTCGAGGTCCCGTAATAACCTTCCACGACCACCCTTCTTCGCTCTCTACCCATCGAAGCGACCCATCGCGTTTTCGGTGGCGACCCAGTTGTTTGTTTTCTTTTTCCCGAGCCTGCGTTGTGATGGTGAATTCTGGGTTCTTTGCAGAAGCTGAAGGCGGAGGTTTCTTGCGGTTTGCAGCAAGAGTGCGATGAGGACTTATCGTAAGTGAATGGCGTCTGTCTTTGGTAGATTTATGCATCTGGGGAAGCTTGTTTTTGGAGGGTTTTCGCGAAAGTTTCGTTCTTTTTGGTCGAAAGGCTTGTTCTCATTGTGGGGTGTGGTTCGGCTTGGTGCTTGTGCAGTGTGGATGAGCTCAAAGTGTTCAGTGAGGAAGAGTTGGTAGACATGGCTATGAAGGAGGCGTTTCAAGTATGCCCCTCCAGTTTCAGTTTCTTGGTTTCTTTTCCTCTCTCAAGTCAATTGTTTTTATTCATTACTTGCTCACACGGGGTTGTTGTTTGCAGGATCAGGAACTTCTTGATTGTTCTGAACAGCATCCAGAAGGCCAATCCAATTCTAGGTAAATTATATGTGTTGTGTCCACATATGTGCATTTTAAGCTAGCTGTTGCGAGATGATCTGTAATTGTGCTCATCAGTAATATTATGCATCACAAGTTTATGTAGTCAAGATTAATTTTTTTGGCCAGACTTATACCTCCACATGCCTTTTGATTCGGCACCGATAGAGTAAAGCGGACGCCGAAGATTTTAGTTGTGTTAGTTGTGTAAGTTCCTATATGGATATGATATTCAGTAAAAGTAGGTGCTTGGAGACGATTATTCCATCATATTCAAATTCAATGCTTGCACTTGTGACTGCGGTGAAAAGCCACCCTGCTAGTCCTGTAGCACATACGGACCTGCATTTTTTTCCGTGCCTTTTCCGAGGGTCGTAGCAATATCAACCTGGTTAATGCCTTTATCTTTTGACCTAGACTCTAGGGACAATACTCTGCTATATCCTTTCCATGAAGAGGGTACTCTTTTTCGTTGGATTGCCTTTTGTTGGGCTATTTAATTCTTTTTGAAGTGCCTATCCGGAACTGTTTTAATCTTCGGTTTGTTACATTCAGGCATGAAGATGACCAAGGAGCAACAAGCCGAGACCATCCAAATTTAGAGAACTCAGCCAGCCAAGGAGAAGCCTCAAATGCATTAGAATGCTTTAATGGATTTCATTCTCAAAAAACAGCTAGAAATTCGAGCACAAAGAACTCCAAGAAAAGAACGAGAAATGAGGAAAACAGTCAAGCTCTTGAAGTACGTCAATTATTTGGCTGTTAACTTGCTAAACTTCCAGTAATTTTGTGTGAGGGTGCGTGTGTGTTTCCTTACCTTCTGTTGCTCTGTCTATTAGTTACTTGCACTTTGTTTTTGAAACTCTTTCACTGAAGAATTGGTTTTTGTTGGTCGAAAGTAGCTTTTCATTGTTAGATTAATGAGGAAAATATGCAGCTGCCATTTTCTTGTTAATACTATTTAGTGGGTTTGGCTCAAAGATGTTTGGAAATTGTGAGTGCTCTCACATCATCTTTTTTCGCATTTATATCTCCTAGATTTGGTATCTGGGGTTATAATCCGAGATGGTTCGTGTGTTGGACTGTGAGGTAAGAAATTTTTTGAAAAGGACTCGCTCATGTATGATGCTCCATTTGCTTGAATTTGATCGATTGTTTGAATAAAACTTATTGAAGCATCCACTTGTTCTCAGGTGCTTTTTCAATATTTGAAATATACTGTCCTTCTAGATATTTCTTCTTCTATTCTTGACAGTGCCATAAGATTCTTAAAATTTTCCATTGTTGTTTTTCAGCATAGTTACATGGGAAAAGTGGATGAAATTGTGAAGATCAAACTAAAGCAGGATGAAGACAAGGAAGCAGCAAGGCTGCATTCATTCAAGTTTGTGACCTAACCTGGAAAATTCTTCTGGTTATATGTATATTGTGATTTGTACTTACTATAGAACCTCATATGTCCAGTGCCATCTGTAAGATTGATGAAGGTGCTGTTCCACCTATGGAGAGAGTTGAGAGGTTGCAAACCTTGAGGTTGACAAACTCTGAAGTGAAGGTTTGCTCACAACTTAACATTCTGTTTGCATTTTTAGTTCACTTGCTAAAGGCTACATGCGTCTTGGGCTTCTATTTATCGATCTTATACTTATGTGCCACTTGTTACCTCACCTTCGCTTGTGGTACTGACTACAAACGCATCCCTCATACTCTAGTTCCCTCCTTCCCTTTAGTATCTTTTGGAGCTAACAGTCTATATTGGAGCTGCTTCACCATTCTAAGTCTCCTTATGAATCTAAAAAATGTGAACTGTGAAGAATCTTACTGAAGCTGCCTAGAATTTTTCCTTTGGATAAGTTATAATAAAAAGCTTATGCTTGGGTTGCTGTTTCAGAATGATGCACGAACTCAAATGAATCTCAGAACATGATGTTTAAGGCTATTCAAAGCTCGACACTAACAAAATTTTATAGCTCTGACCGTTTGATATTTCTGGGTAATCATAGTTCTTAGGTTCTTTTCTCTTCTGATCTGTACAGGTGAAATCATCAGACCTTCAGGAAAACATGCCTGTGTTGTATCCTGAAATTGTTCTTTGCGTGGAGGTTTACCATAACGTAAGGAGATGGATCAAGGTATTATATCTGTTTATTTTTTTTGTTGTAGTGGAAGGGAACATGTTCCCTGACATTCTATTTGGCATTGTGGAATTTGGGTTGGTTCTTTTGTCTGGCTTTTGATTATCCAAAGTGCCAAAATAAAGTTAGTACTTGGTGTAGTTAATCCAGTGCAAGATAAGTAAAAACATACTAAGGTAGATAATGGTCCCCTGTTTGTTGAGGGCCTTCAACCTGGGTTGCTTTTGATAGTTTAGCTTGGTAGCAACTTTTTAGAGGACCTTTTTTTGGTGAGGTGATATTTACTTTCATCTCATTCACGTCTGAAAAATTTTAGAATAGGTAGATGCTTTCATGCTATCATCTTTGAAAAAAGATTTTAAGAGGGTAGGTGCTGTGATTGACATTTTACTGGGCTTCAGCTGAAAAGAGATTGTACCTCAACTAATTTCCTTCTCTTGTTTGGCTTCTGAAGTTATTTTGAAATTTTCTGTAGACACAAGAGTTCTTGGTTCTTGGACGACAATTGTTGACGGAATTGAGGGACAAGATATATTGCATGATGGACCATATAATGCAGAAAGCTGGAAAGCACGATTCTTCAGGATATTTCCTCATAGAAGTAAGAAGCTCTTTCACCTCTCTATTTGTCATAATGAGATATATAGTTTATGGCTAAATTGTGAAGATTGTCTGTGTTATGCAGGATTTCTTTTGCAATGATTTGAGGGACCCCGCTGCTATAGATTACAGCAAACCCATCCTTGAGTGGCTTAGGAGTTCAAAGGAGGAAGCTCTCAAAAAATGGGAGTGCATCCTAGCTGGTGAGTTGGGGCAGAAGCAGAAGGATGTTGTAGGTGACACAGCGATCTCCCAACTGCCTCAATTCAAAGCCGTGGAGATGCAAAAGACGCGGTTTTGTGATTTGAAATTTCAACTAGGTGCCGCATATCTATATTGTCATCAGGTGTGGCAATTGTTTTCCTCATATTCATCTTCGCCCACTGTAAAATTCTCTGGATGATGCCCTGACATCTTTCTTTTGTAAACAAACTATCGTTGTTTGTCTTCTGACCATCGGATACTGATGCTTCTCTGGAAATTTCATGGTTCAGGGAGATTGCAAGCACACAATTGTGATTAGAGATATGAGGTTGATTCATCCAGAAGATGTACATAACCGAGCGGCTTATCCTATTGTCACGTTCCAGCAGAAAACACGTGCACAAAAATGCTGCGTGTGTAAGATCTATAGAGCTACAAAGGTAACCCTGGATGACAAATGGGCCAGGGAGAACCCTTGCTATTTTTGTGATAATTGCTATTTCTTGCTTCATTACTCCAAAGACAGCTCTCTGTTGTATAGTGACTTCTCTGTGTATGATTATCACCATGATTAATAGCATTTACATTCGCAAATCCCTGTTGTTGATCTTGAATTCCAATTCTTTTACATGGATGAAGAAGCTGTTTATATGTTCAGCCTGCTAACACAAACTATATTATTGCTTGGCCTTTATATGAAAAGATGATTAGAAGCTTGACAAATAATTGCTTCTCTATGGGAACACATGCAACCTTTTCTTTCTCAAAGGGCTTCTCGAGTTCTTGGTGATTGGCAAAAATTTCTTCAGACTTGTCACATGACCGAATGTTCAAGATTTGGCAGTGCCATCAGAGATCATTTCTGCTGAATTATTTGAGGCTTTGCACCGGAGATTGCTAATTGAAAGTGTCGTACATATGTCACAAATTCATATTGTTGGAGCAGACTAACTGGAACTGTTGTTCTTTATACCCAAAACAATATTACCAATGATAGTTAATTCACATTCTATAACCGTGCAAATGTTTGGCCCATCTTCTAGCCATGAAAGGGTCATGGTAGTCCCAACTCTCAACACTGCTATTCCTCCCACCAATGCTCATATCTCTCCCTGCACTATCTGTACTATCTCTTCTCTCTCCCTTGTCCTCAAGACTCACCAGAGTCTCTCCTGTCCTAAGGCACTCATCACCCGCGCCCTCGACATAGCTATATTCCACATACACGTGTTCTTCCTCGCACAACTCCAACAAGATCCTTTTCTCTTCGCCGCTTCTCATCTCTCCGAGCCTTACGATCCTGCCATCCTCTCTGATCCTCAGTTGAATCTCTCTGATAACACCACCCAACAACCTTCCCAAGAACTCCTCGAATTCGTGCATGGCGAACCCGTTTGACGTGCCAAACCCTAACCCCACATGAAACCGGTGTATGGGTATTGACATTTCAATGTTAACAGAATGGTAGGACCTCATTGGACAGTCGGACAGATGCAATATAGATGATTGCGGGTTCTTGTGGACTCGATCTTCGAGTATCTTCATTCCTTTCTTGAGCCCTTCGATCGGATCAGCCTGTCCCATGTAGAAAAGGCGATCAATGACTTGTAAAGCCGTTCGCTTTCCGTAAGAGGTCATTCGCCTCAGAGGAAAAACTCTGGCAGCTGCAGATGAATAGGTGACAATGGCTAAGCGATCGATCGGTCTGAGAGAGAACACCACCAACGCCATGGACTGCTTAAGGAGCCTAAGGTGCGGGCCGTTGGGACTTGCCACAAGGACCAAATCCATTGCTGGTTGGTGCGTGAGCTTCACTGAGAGGTATGCTCTTCGCGTATGTGAGGTACACATGTAAGGTGTCTGATCTGGGGATGTGAAATGTTTAGGTATTGGTAATTGATGCAGAAACAGGGATGAGCTGCTCAGGTGATGTGAGGACGTGATTCCACGAGGATGGTGTGATCTTTGCTCACTAACTTGTTGAAACGGGTGTGTGCAGGGACGGAAGCTTGGGTGTGAGGGTGGGACCAGCATGAGAGAAAACTCTACGTGGGGATAACTGGATGTATGGTCAGGCTCTACCGGGTCATCATCGTCATAGCGAGCAGAGCGCAAGAAAGAGCGTCGATGGACGCGGAAGTTGGCGATGGAGTCATCTAGGATTCGGAGGATGGGGTCGGTTTGGCTGCAAGAAATGGAAAAGGGCAGGTTGAGATTGCGGGGAAGCTGAGTCCAGTGGGCACGGCAAATGGGGCAAGTGACGCTCCCGTGCCGGACATTCGAGGAGATGCAGCTGAAGTGGAACGCGTGAGAGCACTGGGCGGTGAATATGGCCTGCCCTGGGCTGCTACTTGTGCTGTAACTCAGAGGGTCCAGGCATATTGCACACAAGTTCTGCCACAGGAAAAGGGTGGAGTCAGCCTCTTCTACACAATCTAAGATCTTCAACGTGAAAAATAATCGATTCATATGAACAGAAAGCTGAAAAGAACTGACATCATAAATAATGCAAAACTTCCATCGGCTCTTGGATATAAAGTTGTCACTCTTAACTCATGATGTCAAATTTACCCCTACAGGATAACAATTATCTGACTTATTCACGGCAAACGTATTAATTTCTACTTCTTCATACTGGTTTGATTCCTTTTCTCCTACTGCTTAACTACTTTAATAGTAAACTTGACATAGATCTGCTGTTGCAACTCATTTGTGGCGTAGCAGTTGAAGCAAGAAATCCGTTCAGATGCTGCAAATGCAAGCTAGAATTCCTGAGAACTAGGAAGCAATGCATTCACTTTCCCGGAATCTAAAGACGTCGCTCGTCTTCGGATTCTGATGTTTCGATAAATCAAAGTACTTTGTCGCTGAAAATATCGCAATGCATAATGACCGTGTTCTCTCCCCAGAAACAAAGCAATCACCATATAATTGCTCAGAGCAATGTGATTATGCTATTGGGGTCCAAATCAATCGATTATATTCTTGGGTTGTGGGGGGCATTCAATCGTGGGTGTTCTAGTGCAATGCAAACCCCACTAAGTTTCATACCATTTGGTAAGAGAAAGGCATGTTTCGAGGCTTTTTTCGTGCATATCGATCTTGTTCAAGAACATACTTGACAGCATGTCCCACCCAAAACATGGCAGGGTTTTGTCATTTCTAGAATTATCACATGACATGTCAAATGTGGGTGAGAGTGGTTACGAAAAAGTGAGGGACAACATTCAAAAACGAATCAGTGTTCAAAATCTGATGAAGCCATTACTGGTGATCCATGTGTGGGACATTGCCAGTGGGTCCCGAGTCATGCACGATTTCGATTTCAGCCTCTCTTTTAGCTGAAACTGACCAACTCTCTCTATCTGGTTGGTGAGAGGGAAGATCACAAGACAGCAGTTTTTTTTTTTTCATTTTCTGAGATTTTTCTAAGGTCTAGATGGAATATATGAGTATAAAGATCACATTTGAGCTTCTGCTAGATTACAGTTAGCACTTCCCCTTAACTTTTTTTTGTTGCTTTAATAGGCAACGGTTTTATCGATCAAACCCTCTCTAAATTTTAAGATTTCTATGCTTTTCTGAATAAGACTGATTAACAAAATATACTTAAAGATTATCAAACTTCAGCCGGTATTTACAAGAGTGAAGAGTGCAGCCTGCAGGCACTTGCCTTCAAATCAAACTCCAAGATGTAAGAATATGGGAGAAAGAAACAGTAGAGGTTGCAAGGAGTACTCATACTTAGCTATTTTTTTATTTGTGTGAGCTCTTGGAATTGAAATAAAAATGTTGGAAATTGTACCAATTTGAAAGGGAAACAATAAAGGAAAAGCAGAGAATATGAAAAATGCGAGAGGGTGGTCAAAATCAAGAGCCATTGGATTCCAAAAGCGAAAATTTAGCGTGTGATCGCTTTTGAGGGTGAATTTGTTGAACGGTTGAGATCTGACGCATTTTAATCCATCGATGAAAGATTGCGATGGTACAGTGCCCACGGGAGACTATGGACTCAGGCCACTTTTAAATGACTTTTTGTAGCAATAGATAGACTACACAGAATGAGCAGAAGCTTCACATATACTCAACACTCATTAAAAATCAAAAGCTTTTTCTTTTTTCCCTCAAGCATGCTTTCATTTTGGTTATCTTTTTCCTATTCTTCATGAAATTGTGGGAGGAATTCAAGAACGGATCTTTGATACTTGGAATGAGGGCAATGTGGAAGAGAGCTGTTACCTTGGAAGTGACGTTGTTGGCCGATTCTGTTTCCTCCACGTTTTCTGAGAAATTCTCTCGTTTTCTGAGAGACATCACTGATGAATTCGAGATCTGTTTCGTTATTCAACATCAACAAAAACGGCTATCAAGATCAAGTGCAGTCACGAGTAATAGAAAACAAAAGAGGGGGATAAAATTTGCTTAAATGGGATGAAGAATTACAAGAACAATTAAGACCCAGAGAAATCAAACACAGACAGTAGAGAGAGAGAGAGAGAGAGAGAGAGAGAGAGAGAGAGAGAGAGAGAGAGAGAGAGAGAGAGAGAGAGAGAGAGCAAAATGCAGCAAATGTGGGGAGGAATATTTTTCAAGAAACAAATGGGTTTTATTTGGTGAATCTAACATGAGCTTTGAGAACCAAGCAGCTAGAGAATTTCAAACAAAGAGAATTCCTCTTCCTAAGAATTGTTGTGTGGGGAACTCTCTAGTCTCTGCTAAAAACAAAATTTGCATAAGCAAGCATTATTTTGCAACTTAAGTAGATGTGCCAAAAAAATTGATCTTTTTGTTGATGACAGAAGGGAAAAGAAATGGAAATATTCAACACAGACTATACAGACACAGAGAGACAGACAGAGACGGAGACATACATTGTTGCCAAGAACAGGAGGATCAACAAGAGCTTGTTTACGTGAGAAGGAGGCACAAGCTGCAACCACCACCTTCCTTGCGGCTTTTTTCAGCATTGAGGTTGCTCCTTCTCCAACCCCCATTTCCTCTTTCTTCAAATTTAGACTCTTCTGTTCTCTTCTATCTTCCTCTGCTCCAAATTACTACGCAAGTGGCAATAAATGTCGTTTCAGAAACAAAAGCAGAGAAGAAGAAGAAGAAGGAGATGATTATGATGATGATACTGAGGTATGAAACAAAAATGGGGGACTTGGGTTTGTGTTTGTGTTTGTGTTGTATGTATGGAAGTGAGAAAAATGGCAGGGGAAGGAGACAAATCTCTGCCAAGTGCCTGCAAAAAATGGTCAGCTTCTGTTGCTTTTTTCTATTGTTGTCTTCCATCTACACGCCCTTCCTCCCTCATTATTATATTGCGCATCATTGTTACTTTATTTATGAAAAAGGAATAAACTAAACACTTCTTTTTCTTTTTCTTTTTCTTTCAAAACAAACTTGCTTTCTTGTTTTACTGTGGAAAAAAACAAAATCTGTCTCCTATTTCAAAACTATTTCTCATGCTGTCACTTTCCTGTTTGTAATGGAGTGTTGTAATCCATTTCCTTACATGTGCAGTAAAACAATTCCCTAGAAGCATTCAAGTTCCTTCCCGGTGTCATCTCAAAATTTTCCAAGTTACTCTTTATTGCGCGTTTGAAATTTAGCCTTTAAAAATCCCCTTGAACAATGAGTTTCGTTTCCACTTCAATGCCTCAGTAAAAATCCATGCTCTCCTTTTAAGTATTTGGCAGCTGCAAAATAGAAAGATTAGAGTGAAAACAGATTGAACAGATTGAATGAGTTGATGACAGATACTTCTTGGGGCTACATGTAAGTCAAAGAGAAAAGGCAGGATATCATACTGCTGAGCATTAGATTTTACATATAGGCAGAACATGTAAGTCAAAGAAATATTGTTGTTCCCCAAAGATATAGACTTACCATTTTGTACATGTCACCCTCTTCTGGTAATGTTGCTAAGGGTGCTATATTCACCATGCTAATACTGTTGGACATTAGAGACGCGACTTCAGAGGAGTCAAGACCGCGCGCACGTGATATTACATGCAATTCATTTGTATGTTGTTATGTCTACATAGAACTTGCGTTCGGGATGGGGTAGATGATATTCCGTGGCTCTTATGTGGATTTAGTTAAAAGGAAAAGAAGAAAGAAAGAATGATGTGCGGAATTATGAATTTGAAGGCCTCGACGTTAATTGAAATTTGTATATAGAAATCAGCATTACCCAGTAAATGCAACCAATACATTGTTGCAGGACAAGGGGGGGCCCCAAAAAAAAGGGTCCCAAGTGACATCATCATACATTCAGAGAGAAAATGAGATTTGAGAGTGTTGGTGTGGTGCATGAAGTGTGAGGTCTGTCCACACTTACCCATCTTTTTCTGGGCTTTAAAAGTTCTGAGTGGGAGGTTGCCATATATTCTTGAATTGGCAGCATTGCTTCGCCAATAACAGCTAATATGCATGTGCATTTATAGTTGGTAAGTGGGGATTTTTGCTTGATATTTATTGAAAATTAAACTTAGCATACCCAACATCCTTAATGATTCCAACTTGCTTCTTAATCTCTGCTCATCTTTCCAATTTTCGTTAAAATTTTTCCATCAAGTTCTTATTATCTCGAACAACAAACAACGACAATAACCGCGATATAAGTTTTACTATATGTAAAAGAAGTCTCACGAAAAAAAAAAGGGAAAAGAATAGCCTGTCTAATATGAAACCCGAGTTTGGTTGTCTCCAGATGTCTTCAGCTGGAGATATTTAGCAGTAGTGAATTAATTTAGTCTTAAATGTTTGTTTAAATTTAATTTCATATGAAAATGTAATTTGTAGTTCATATCTGTTTTAATTTGTTGTTTAGTTTGAACTAAAATCTGTGATATACAGTAAGAAGAACCAAGTATTCAAACTATCATAACTTTGTTACCATCCTAATAATCCACACAGGTGCTTTTTAGTTAATCAAATTCCATCATAAAAATGGGAAAATATGAGACGGAAAGGGGAAAAGCTAAAGGGTCAAAAAACAATGGAGACAAAGACCGTTGCATTTGAATTTCAAGTCTGCTCTGATCAAGAAGAAGAAGAGACATTCTGGTTCTTTTATGGCTTTTGGCCTTTTAGAATGATGCTGCACATAAAGCAACGAGTGGCTTTGCGCCAAATTCACTTTTCTTCGGGCCGTTGCATTGCGCTTAACAGTGGAGCGGCATTGGCCCCTGGCCACCAAAGCAATAGAAGTACATCTTTGGACTCATTTTATTACCTGCACATGTCATATGCGAACCAACCGTGCTACACAGAATTGTAATGGCTTAGTCTATGAGAAAGATACTGACCAATTTGTTCTGTATATTTACATCAGCAGACTCAGCAAAATGCTTGAGCTGATCTTTACCTATATGGGCCAGAACAAGACTCTGAAAAGGCCTACAAACATTATTACGTTCTTGATGGTGAATGTGAAAGATAGAGATGTGGATCAGCCTGATGAATATGAACCTCAAATTGTTTGTCTCAGTACAACATATTATATGGATCAAATCATCCGATGTACGAACTTGCAAGTTGCGTTGCTTCCATTGAACTTGTACCGCTGTGCGTGTTATCGTCCCAATTAACTTCACATCGAACATATGGATAGCAGTTGCATAGTCTATTATGTTAACATTTTGTGGTCAGAATGGAATTGATATGAACTCAATGTATGCTGAAGCCAAGTGTTGATAGCTGATCCGACTCCACATGACTGAGTTAGCTTAGTGTTTGATGCAGCTAACTAGCCCGTATCTACCAATTAAGATGCCAAACATGCACTTAATTATTCTTGGAGAGATAGAGTCATTCACTCAAAGACAAATAACAATGATGATGAAAATCCCATCAAACTGTTAACCTTTTCCTTTTCAGTTAAAATAGGATTTCCTTCTAATCTACCTGATTAAACAACACTAATCATCAGTTTTGAGTAGTTGAGCCATCATCTATCCCCTCTACAATAAATCTGGGGGAGATCATTCAAATTAAGGCACCATATGAATTTCAAATCTGCCGAATCATGCAGGACCCTTTTGCTAGATTAAATTAGACTTCTTTTTTTTCTGGAAGATTCTGTTAGCAAAATCTATTACAGAAAGCTTATTGCTTATATATATTAGAATGGTCTCACCAAATGATTAGAACAGGACAAGTAATTGGGAAAAAGTTGCCTAGAAAATAGAGTAGGACCAATGGAGCTAAAGTCTAAAGGGCACTGTTCAACAGTATGTGGAATTTGGGGAATCCTGCTCTTCTTCTTTTGACTGACACATGTGAGAGATTTCAAAGATCCTTGGTCGCGCATGAAAAGAAGCAAAAGGTGAAAGATTGATTTGTATCTTTGCATTGTCTTGCCATTTGCCAATCTACAAGGGGAAATTTTGTTTGGTTTGCTTACATAAGATGGCCCTTTTCTCTTCTTGACCAAGTCAAATCCCACTTAAAGCGGACGAACAATCTTTCTCGATCATTAGCTCATTAAAAATGACATAATCCAAGCACGTTCTTTTGCCCTGTAGTTGTTTTCCCATTTCGCAAAACGCCACTTCTTAAGAGCATTGACTAGGGTTTTAGAAAATTAGAGACCTAGAAAATGAATTATCAATATTTCTCTCATTATATGTAATATAAAGAGATTTTGGGATCTGAATCCTTTCTATCATTCATCGTTAGTTGCATCGATTTATCTTACAGATTTCATTTCAATAGGAACTGGATTATTCATCGTATACGAGGATTTTGGCTAAGTATACGTAACTAAATGGTTAAAGCACCTCGCTCATAATTGGCGAAATCTTTGAAAGATATTTCTAATCAGTAGCGAAGATTGATGCTCCGCCTTATAATATGATTCGCAGATCTTTTCCAAGATAATATCCCTAATCATGAAGAGGGGCTGATGTAGCTAGTTGTTGACACCATGAAATGATGGACAAGCGTATGAAAGATTTGCATACACACATTCGTAATCTCCGGAATGTTGTTGTTGTCAACTACACCGACGAAATTGGACCCCATCTCTCACATTATGTTGTCCAGAGAGCACGATGTGCACAGAATTTCCTCCATATGATTTCTTGTGTCTCCCATTAAGTGTACACAAACCCATGTTGGCTTCTTTTCTCGATGATATTCTTTTTTTCTCCTCCTCCTAGCTAGTATTTCATCAATGTAAATGATTTCTTGTGTCTCCCATTAAGTGTACACAAACCCATGTTGGCTTCTTTTCTCGATGATATTCTTTTTTTCTCCTCCTCCTAGCTAGTATTTCATCAATGTAAACAATAAACGGGTGCGATCGGAGGAGTTATGATCATACCAATAAATTGTGAAAGTACAAAAAGTTTGGTTTCTACGTGGTTTATCTTCTTTAGATTTATTTTCACTGCCATAATGAACCATTGACTTACAACCCCTTTGCTGGCAATATCAAGGATGGGCCCAAAAGGAAGGTTTATCATATGTAATCCAGTTGGGCCTTTGTAATCCAGTTTGGCGGTGGTCGTGTGTGGAGTCGAGCATTGGACTTGTTGTAGATGGTAGGGACGTGCAAAGTAATCGGGTTCGCCCAAAATCGGACCGAACTGGCTCGGAACCGGCGGTTCCCATGAGGACCGGTCTGGTTCCCGATTCCAATTTACTAGAAATAATGAGTACCGGTCCGATTTCCAATTTTAGGTGTGGAACCGCCCACTCGCCCACTCACACCGGACCGGTAGTATATATAATTTTTTAAGAAAAATTTTCAACCAAAAAAAAGAAATTTTTTTTAAAAAATAAAAACCTTAAAGTCCCTAATCTGAAGCTCAACGCCTATTAACTGAGTGCTCGTTTCGTCTCACTCTCACCTTGTCTGAGTCGTGTTTCTATCTCTCACTCATGGTCTCGACTCTCAAGCTCAACACCCATCAACTCACGGCCTCGACTCTCATCTCCCATCGACTCACTGCCGCGCCTCCGGCCGTTCATTGCTTCCTTCTCTCGCTCCCAATCACCTCCATTTGCATGAAGCTTGGTAGGACCGATTCCATGGACTCACTTGGGAATCAGACCAGACAGGCGGGCCAGTTCACGGGTGGATTCATGGAACCAACGGGCGATTCCCGATTCTAATTTTTTGAACCTATTCCTTAGTGGGCTGTTCCTGATTTCATGGTGGGAACCCTCCACCTGGACCATGCTCACCCCTAGCGAATGGCCGGGTCGAGCAGCAACGTGGCGGAGGCAACGCATAGGGGAGAGAGAGAGAGAGAGAGAGAGAGAGAGAGAGAGAGAGAGAGAGAGAGAGAGAGAGAGAGAGAGAGAGAGAGAGAGAGAGAGAGGTGACGGTAAAACTAGAATTTAGATAGTTTAATGAGAGCATTTGAACCCTTGAAGTAGCATTCCGGAAATGGCTAAAAGCCCTAGAGTGAAGTAGCAATGAGCTTTGACCATTTTCACAGCTCAACTTTGTTACCAAAGTTATTTAAGATCGTGCTATCAAACACCAAACTTCGACTCAAAGACCTTTGGAAATGCCAGGCCAAGCGTAGTCTAAGCCACACTTCAATTCAACAAATAATTCTGATCATTTTGTTGGATATAGATTGATGGTAGGATCAGGTATGCCATATAAGTTGGCCATTTAGCCTAAACCTAAAACAGTGTTTTAACTTATACTCATTGAGCAAACCAATCGGAAAAGAATAATGAACATTTGAGGACTCCAACAAGAGTCTTAAATTTACCATTCTCATAATACTAATGTCGAATCTGATCATGCAGTCAACGACGCTTCAAATCCCTCAATATAGTGAGAGATGCACATTGTACAACAAAAGATATACAGACATACATGTATAACAAGTGTGTAAGTACAGGCTAGATTCCTGAGATGACACTCAATACTCCAAAATTATTTGGAAAATACACAATATATAATAATATAAAGGGACAGCGAAAGGTGTGAGAATCCAAATTCTCGAAACCAACAAGCCCAGCTGAGCAATGGCCCAATAGTCAGGACAGAGGATTGCTTCATTGAACTCTGCAATTCTGGTCCCAAGTCTAGCTATAACAGGGCTCATCTGGGTTGTGCCCAAAACCTCCCACTTTTACTATAAGAACCTGCAGAGTGGGGGATGCATCATTACCTGTTCTTTGATGCTCTTGTAAGTGAAATTTTGATTGGAGAACTCAAGTGTCTTTTTTACCAAATTGGGGAGTTTAAGTTTAGTTGTGATATGTACCAAGGAATGATAAAAAGTTGGGTAGGCCCAAACTTATTTAACTTACTCAACTTTATATGGGCATTTCATTGAATAGTTCCCACGTAGAAATAACGTTTAACTTGAGCTATATTGATAAACTAAACACAACTTTTCTACCAAATGCAAACTCGTCCACCTCTTTCACTTTGTCTCTCAAGTAGACCAGCTGCCGTGGCCATTCGTAAGAGCCACCATAGCTACCACCGTCGGCACCAACGTTGTTGCCGTCCCCGGTTGGCGTCTCCCCTGCCACCATTATCAATCACTTCTCAGCCACCGTTAACTTGTGTTTGGTTCTCTCTCTCTTTCTCTCTCCAATGGAAACTAGAGTTCTCTTTCGCAGATCACATTTACCATCGACAAGAGGAGCCAAGCATGCACAGCAGCCATGACATGCACAAAACGAGTAATCAGGGGGAGAACTGCATCGGGGAAAATGATCTACCGAACCTTTTGCCCGGCTAAATCCACAGGAAAAAGTTCAAAAAGAAAACCACAATTGAAAGTGTGACAATGTCAAAATTACTAAGAACGATGTGCGGAAGTGATTCAACCTGTTAGTTAAGTTCCAGAATTCAATTAAGCATTAATAGAAATCTGTCGCGTCACTTTGAAAATCAATTTACTATAGCTAATTCTATAAGGTTTTGCTAACGAGTGTCTAGGACACTTGTTAAGGGATTGATGAGGGAAACTTTATAATTTTTATGCCATAAATTGCCCTCATCTCATATTTTATTATTCGAAATAATAAGTCTGTTTAATAAGTATTTCGGTAACATTCGTCAAGATGATCGATTTAAACATCTTATTCAAATTAGAAAGGAATAATGACACAAATAGTAGTTGAACTTTGGTCAAATGTGCAATGTAGTCCAAAAATTTTAATTTGTTCAATGTGGACTTTGAATTTTAACCCAATGTGCAAGTCGTCCCTGAACTTTTAATTTGTTCAATGGTCCCCAAACTTTTGATAAAATACGTACCAAAAGTCCATGGACAACATTAAATAAGTTAAAAGTTTAGAAATTACGTTATATATTGAGTTAAAATTCAGAACTATTTGTGTTATTTTCTCAATTAGAAAGCAGCTGAGCTTCCATAGTTTTCGAAATAAAGAAGCTCAGCTTGCAATAAATTCCTACAACTCCAGCATGCTCCATCTCCACCCAACCCTTGGTCCAACTCCACCTGACAATGACTTAATGAACCCTCATCACGCTTGTCCCCAGGGCCCAATCTATGGGAAAAATGAGAAAATCTTCCATATTCACTAGCCGGTGGGCCTCTCCCAGGAGATAGGCATGCAGAAGATGACCATGCAGCATTATCTTTCGTGTTTGTGTTTCAAGCTCGTCTCTTGGGAGCTATCCCATAGTAGTTCCAACTCCAGGCTTCTCTCATTTCATATCGTATCAGATACTTAGTTTGACCTCGGCTATATCATATGTTTGAGCTATTACAACATCTCGTTATGCATGTGTAAATGACATGACCGACTTAATTGATTACGGCAAGACCGACAGTTTAATTTTCTTTTTTGGGATCCTTAATTTTTGAAGAAACTAGCATGAATTGGACTGCTTTTTACGATGTGACTGATTTGATGCAATAGAATTAGTTAAGATAATCTCATTGGGGATAAAAGGGCGTGTCGGCTGCATTACGTGTTAAAAGAGAAGTACATTATGATGGGTTGCCCCAATGGACACATGAGCTCTATAAATAAATCTTACTTAAGCACTGCGGATAAAACATTTGAAATCTCCTAAAGAAAAATGATAAATGAAGATTGTCACACTTATTTTAATTTACTTTAGAGATAGTTAGAACCCTAGAGACGTCTACTGGTGATTCCCCTAGTCACCCTTCTAAATTATTTCTTTTTGACAATAATTGTAATAAGGAAAATGTTAAAAGAAAAATGATTTGGTTCAAACTGATATGCTAGGAACAATACATTGCTCCCTAACTTGTGAAGGAGACATGTTTGTTTCTCGTCTCGTTCAACTTTAATTGGCTTGCACGAATTGAAAATTAGTTATGTAGGTGAGTTTAATCGGATAATTAATAAAAAAAGTTTTAAACTTAGTGTACGAATGTTAATTAATTCAATCTAAACATTTCAATTTGGTTAATTTAGTCCTAAACCTTTTGATAATTTGCTAAGGGAAAACTGTCCAAAAAGTCCTAAATCTATTGCACTTTAACTTTTTAATTTTACCAATTGAGTCATAAATATTTTCACATTTTTCCATTTGAGTCCATTAGGCCAATTTTGGTTGGAAATTAGTAACGTGGACATCGACCATCCTACGTGGCACGACCGGCTTTGATGTGAACAATTTTTACAATTTTCTGAATTTTTTTCCTTTTCTTCTTCCATTTTTCCATTTTTTTTGAAAAAGAAAATTAAAAAAATGCTTATATTGTCTACGTTAGCGCCAATTGTCTCCCGGCCGTGTCAGCGATTTCCAGCCAAAATTGACTAGAAAGATTACATTTACAAATCGTCCAAAGGTTTAAGACTAAATCGGCCAAATTAAAAGGTTGAGAACTGAATTGACACTTGTACAATAAGTTTAATACCTTTTTCTAATAATTTACCCGAATTTAACCTCTCGCTCAAGATTTTTTTTCTTTTTCAGGTCGAAACGCCTCGCTCAAGATCGATAGCCGTCGAATCACGAGACTAAATCGAATGAAAAACCTTTTTCTCTACTTACATTTGCGCATCAAGAACCTCACTCGGTAACGGACTATTGTAGTGTCCATTCGTAACGTAATAACGTACTAAACCGACCCACCATTTCTCGCGAAAGGCGTCGAACGGATACGAACTCCACGTGACAAAGAGGACCGAACCAAAAAAACCGTCACATTTTTCTCATCGCCGACACCCAGCGGGCCCCACAAATTCACATGCAGAGAGAGAAACATAGATAGAGACAGAAGAGAGCTTCATCATCTTTTCAACGACACAGACAAAAAAATTTTTGAGACATTCCCACGTCACGTGACGCCACCGCACCAGCTGATCCCGTGACGAAGATAGCAAAGCACCAACAACACAGAGATTAGCTACGCTTAACACGGATGGATCCCGCCGGAGAAGCCGGCCCCCCCGTCAGGTGAAGAGCTCCGACACGACGGTGCATATCTCGCAGAGCCGCTTCAGGTCGCGGTTCCTCCCCGCCACCAGCGGCGCGTACGCGCTGCCCGCGAAGGCCCTGTCGCAGTCCCCGGCCGCGCGGGCGCCGCCCCCGGCGTACCCGGCGAGGCCGGCGAAGGTCTCCGAGTTGAGGTCGTTGTAGGCGGACGCGAGCTCCGTGACGGCGGCGGCGTAGCCGCGGCGGCAGGACTGGAGGCTGGTGGTGAGGCGGGGGCTGCGGGGGGCTAGGTCGGGGCTGCGGAGGAGGCGGGAGATGTGGTCGCGGGTGTGGGTGGCGTTGAGGTAGGCGAGGCCGAAGGAGATGTAGGCGAGGAAGTAGGCGTCGGCGTTGGGGGTGCGGGGGTCGGAGTAGAGGGCGGCGACGCAGTAGCGGTAGTCGCTGGTCTTCTCGCACACCCGCTTCACGATCTCCGTCGCGGCGGCGGAGGAAGGGCCGACGGAGAGGGCGATGACGGCGACGAAGAAGCAGAGGAGCGCGGGGCGTGGAGATGGTAACGACGCCATTTCTTGGGTGCGACTGTGAGAGGGAGTGAGAATGTGTGGTTCTATCTGATGGGGAGGGAGGGTGAGAGAGATGGCTGAAAAGCAAACCTTTTGTGGGTCTTTATATGAATGGAAGCCTCCAAGCTTAGGGAATGCCACGTTATTCACTGCACTCAAAAATTTAATGCCACTTAGGTCTCGTTTGGCTCCCATGACAAAGTTATTCTCGAATTGATTCACCCATTCGAAGTGATCCCGTTCTGAGGAACCAGATCCCTTTTCCATTCCAAGGAATCCTCAAATTGATTCCCACTCTAAGTGATCATATTTCTAGAAACGAGGTTCCTTTTCAATTGTTTGGATTTCGAAAACATTTGATCTTCAACAAGAGAACTCTCGTCGGTGACGGTGATCGATGGCAAAGTTTGGTGACCGGTGACGGATTAACGTCGTCGGAGGCTGGCGATCAGTGGCTGTGGCGATCGGCGGTGGAATTGAGTTTGTGAAAGTTTGGGGTTATAAAAATATGGAATGGAATTCCAATGCCTTCTATAACAAGATAAACTAACCCGCGTTTTTTGAGAAATTCTATTCCATTTGGAATTCAAATCCGTGCTCTGATGTTTCTCTAAACATGAAAGTAGTGGGCATCGCAATCTTATTTCTTGAGGAATCCAATTGCACATTTGAATTAAATAAGAACGATTACATCTCTAAGATGTCGAGTGACCTTAAGGTCAACCGAGGCCGAGGACGATGATCTTAAGTAATGGTGGTACTCTTGCCCATTGCGACCTGAACCAAGGGTGCATCGGGTGAAGTGGCTGGAGAAGGAGCGCTGTTCGCAGGGCGGGGACGAAGGCAATACTATCATAAAATGTTCGTTTCATCACGTGCCGGTGGCAAGCACATGAAAAATCTAACCGATCAAGAATCGTGTTTAACATATGAATACCAAAGTGATTTTCCTCCATCATTTCATCGAAAAGAGATTGACTTGCTCCTCCATCTCAACAATGCAAGGGATATAGGAGATCCTCCTTGCATCAACCCTTGCTTGCGATTGAGCTTGAAAATTTCTCAAGAGGTACTAGTTTTTTCCGCCCGGCTTCGAAAGGTGACCGCATCACGAGTGGCTAGCTTCAATGTGCTTTGTGTTTCCTAGAATTTATGCAAGTCATTTCCACATTTTACAAGCGTTGATGTCGGTTGAATGTCTAAAATTTGCCACATGACATTCAAAAATTTCATTTTTTCCGATAACGATAATATGATCTTTAGCTGTGTTTCTTTTTTTTATGAAGAAATTTTGAGTTTCACGGATGATCACGCGGTCATTAAGAATGTACACCCTTTGGCATGGTTTAATGCAAGGGATGTACGAGATCCTCCTTGCATCACCCCTTGCTTGCGATTGAGCTTGAAAATTTCTCAAGAGGTACTAGTTTTTTCCCCCCGGCTTTGAAAGGTGACCGCATCACGAGTGGCTAGCTTCAATGTGCTTTGTGTTTCCTCGAATTTATGCAAGTCATTTCCACATTTTACAAGCGTTGATGTCGGTTGTTTGACAGATGACATTCAAAAATTTCATTTTTTCTGATAACAATAATATAGTCTTTAGCTGCGTTTATTTTTCTTATGAAGAAATTTTGAGTTTCACGGATGACAACGTGGTCATTAAGAATGTGCGAGACACCTTTTGGGATGATTTAATTTAATGTTTTCTCTATGATACCCTTATTCATTCAAACATTCTTGTTATTCTATAATTCAAGGGCACGAGCCAAGAGAAATCGGGCTATCTAGAGACCCGTAAAAACACTTCTAGAGCCTTATGAATCAGTTGAGCTCATACTTTTAGCGTGTGTAGGTGATCCCAACTCTAAACAGTTTGCACGTAATCTTCATTCTAAGATTTCCTTTGAAAATTTCTTGCTTTTTTGCTTGGCCGAGGAGGTGCATAGTGTACATGTGCTTTGAAGAAATCGCCCTTGACAAATAATTCTTAGGATAGAGAGATCTGAATGCTGTCATGTACCTCGTCCTTGTTTAAGTTGATTATTAATGCCCGATAAGGCCCATTAAGAAAGTGCAAAAAGAAAGGAATATTTTAACTTGGTCCTTTTGAAGTACTAGTCAATGACCGGAATGCTCGAGGCTAGTGAAGCATGTCATGTTTAGAAATTCAATGAGAGGCCATCAATGCGACCGTGCCATGGCTAGTCTCCATTATCTACTTGGTGCACAAGTATGTAGCATGCCCTACAATCCACCCACTTTGTGGTAAGTATGGTGGGGAAGGTAATAATAGATTTATATTTGGTGCGCCGTCGATTTTGATACACTACAGGTATTGATTTCAGAATAGATCAGTTCCTTACTTAGAATCGAGAATTGGACAGGTTAGTTATGAAATTGTCAGTTTTGATTCTCGATTTTACTAGGGAGCTGACCGATTTTAGGTTTTGGGCCAAATCCTTGTGTTAATATCAAAAAATTGCACAATTTCACCCATTTTTTTTTCCGAGTTAATATGTTTTTTGTTCATAGAGACCATGGTTTGATTTTTTATGGGTGCAAAGGTGTTTTTCTTTTTTTGGTAAAAGAGGTTTCAAAACCGGTTTCAGCCTTAAAACTGCGGACATAACCATCCCTAGACAAAATCCAAGTTTGCGAAATCGAGAATCAAACCGGTTCTCCCCGTAACCAACCTTGAACCGATCAAGTCCAGGCAGGTTCAATCCGATTCTGGGGCTGAACCGAACCAATGTTCACCCCTATAGTACACCCTCTACTTTCTTTCTCGTTTTATCTCGAGTTTCCCTTCGATCTCTTGATCCGCATCACACTCCAAAAGCGACGGATCGACCAAATTCCACATACAATAAATCCGATATCTGAAGAAAGTTTTGATCTCAAATGCATTCAATGAAAAGAAACCGAAATCTTGCTCACTTGCTCAGATTCAGAACTGGTTTCTTGCCTCTGAATAGCTGCTACGAAAATTCAATAGGTGATTATGATGCCTTGTCCTGTCAACATCATTGAATGGCTGTCCCGTTTGCTCTCGGATTCGAGCATTTGGTGTCGGCATCCTGCGCTAGCTCTATTTGGTTTGCGCATTTACTGTGCTGTGATTTCATATCGTATTTGGGCCGATTCTCCAAAAAAAAAAAAAACACCCAAATTTTAAGTTCAACTAAATTCTATCCTGAACTTACTTTAATTTAGTTTTAAATTTGCAATCGCCACCAATTTCTTCAAGATTATTAAAACTAGGGCTAGTTACAGGTTCACTATTAGAACATGCGTCTTTATCATATTCGAAACTAGAGCGAAAGTTGGTGATTTTATTTTTAACAAAAATGGTTCGGAACAAAATTGGGATTAAATCTAAAGTTTGAGAATTTTTTTTAGGGAATTAAGCCTATTTAATTATTAGTCATTATTAAAAAAATGTCGATAAACTTTTCTTAATCATAGTCACTCATGGTAAATGGAAATTAGGCTCACGGGGGACTAAAGAGAGAAAGGGGAAAAAATAATAGGAGTTGGGGTCCTACAATTTAGAGATCTCGCATGTGGTATTTGTTCTACATGGGGTATGATTTTGTAAAGGGATGTCTTATTCAAGAAAATATAAAGCCCATTTTTCATGTCTATCAAAGGCAGGAAATGAAACGGAAACAAAATCATGACACTTCATACATATCGTGGGATTAGGATTCCGTTACCGAAGTATCAATCGCATTTTTCATTGATATGTGGCATCAATATGTCTATATATTTTGTTTTGATTTCGACCAAAAACACGATATTTCTATTTTGTGCGGTAGTACACTTCAATCCAGCAAAGAGAAAGAAAAGTTTACAAATTTGCCTGCTAGAGAAATTCAAAATATTCCTCAAACGTGATTCGAATTAAGCCTAGACAGGTTGATAAATTTGCTTCAACATTTATTATGGGCATCGATCCTTACGAAAATAAATGTGCAACAGCAGCACAAATCTCTGAAAGCCCCTTAAGATCCTTGTTGCTATCAGTCAATGGAGATTTTGTCCCCTCAAAGGCCGATTCGCAGTCGACCGCTCGGTCGCCCGCCTTAGTCGCCAGGCCGTCCAATCCGTCGTACGTCTCGGAGTCCAAGTTAGCTAAAGCCTCTCGAATTTTCACGATGGCCGTAGCGTAATATCCCTGGCATTGCTTGAGGTGCTGGTGCACCGGACCGGTCGAGTTACTTAGCAGAGAAGTTATCTGGCCTTGGGTGCTCGAAGCCTTACGATATGCCAAGCCGAAGGCTACATAGGCTAGTGTGAACTGATCTGCACCCGGTGTGCGCGGATCAGAGTTAAGAGCGCTGATGCAAAATTTGTAATTGGATGTTTGCGTGCAGACCCTGTCGACAAGCCCGGAATCGGCGGTGACATAAGAGGATTGAGCAACGATCGACGCAAGAAGGACGGCAAAGAATGCGAGATTGCAGAAGAGAAGAAGAGCATAAGATGTTGCCATTGTTCTTTTATGCTCTTCTTCTATGGGGAACGGTTGAATTGTGCTTACAGGAGCACAATTAATCTCTGCTTAAATAAGAACGAGAGATGTAAAATTTCCAGGATTATCAGTATCGCATTAACTAATTGCAGCTTTATTTGGAAAATTTTTGCTTTCCAAGGAGGATTCTGCATTATTATGGATGTCAAGGATTTGAATAAATGCCCCGTTATATATAATCCCAGAGATTCGATGCGAATGAATATGATCCTGATTTTAGTACCATAAATGAGCTAGGAATATGTCGGTTGCTATACCTTTCGTATATTCCTCACCATCACTTGGGTAAGGTAATCAGTCCAGGAAGGAAGATTTAGGTGCATATCAGTTAGTCTTTTGTCCCCAAATCCACCTATATTAAGACCAAGTCAGTTGTTATATCTAAGCACATTAACACGATAAAGCCATTCATCAATTGAAGGACCTCAAGTTGATTAGACCCTTTATGATAAAGTTGCGGATTGGGTTGCCAGGGTCGAAAGGAAAAGAAGCCTACCTAGCGATTAAACCCTTTATTCCTCTCAAGCTTTTTGGGATTTATTTTGGTCCGTTGCATTCGATGTGTATCCGCAAAACTCTCTTTAAGTTAATGTTACGTACTCTCCTATCAAAAAGAAAATTGGATAAATGCTCGAATCCGAAAGCAAAAGACCCCATGCCATCTTTTGGGTGGAGCATGCACGTCCGGTGGGTTGATGTGGTGATTAGATATCTGAATATTTTCTCCGTCTCCTTTCAATGATGCTAGACAGGATGAGGCATCACCGTTGAATTTTCGTAGCGGCTATTCAGAGGCAGGAAATCAGTCCTCAAATCTGATCTAGTGAGCCAGATGTTTAGTTTCTTTTCATTAAATGCATTCGAGATCCAAACTTACCTCAGATATCAGACATATTGTATCTGAGATTTTGTGGATACATGCCCATGCAACGAAACTTGGTCCATGCATGCGGATCGAGAGATCGAAGTGAAACTTAAGATAAAATGAGAACAAAGTAAAGAGTGTACTGTGGGGGTGAGCATCGCCTCTGTTTCCATCCGAGAACTAGATCGAACCTATTTGAGAGAACTGATATGATTTCCAAGTCCGAAAACCTAGAATCTTTCTAGGGATAGTTCCATTCCCGGTTCTAAGGCCGAAACGGGTTTGAAGCCTCTTCCACCAAAAAAGAAAAAAAAATTGTGCACCCATGAAAAATCAAATCATGGTCCCCATGAACAAACAACACAACAACTTGATAAACAAATGTTTTATTAGTGAAATTGTGCAATTTATAGATATTATTATAAAGATTTGGCCCAAAACCTAAAATCGGCGGTTGCCTAGTAGAACCGCGGACCGGACCGGAACCAGTGGTTCTATAATAGATCTGGCCGGTCCCCAGTTCTAGGTCAGGAACTGACCAACTCTGAAACCGATACCTATAGTTCTAGGTCAGACAGTGAGCTCCTGTGCAATAGAGACACAAATCACCGGAAGCCCATAAAGATCCTTGTTGCCATCACTCAACGGAGATTCAGTTCCCTTAAAGACCGATTCGCAGTCCTTCGCTTGGTCGCCAACCGTACTAGCAAAGTAGGTCAATCGGACATATGTCTCCATGTCGAAGTTGGTTAAAGCCCCTCGAATAGTCGCGATGGCCGTTACATAATCTCCGTGGCATTGCTCGAGGTGCTGATGCACTGGACCGGTCGAGTTGCTTAGCAGCAAAGTTATCTGGTTTCGTGTGCTCGAAGCGTTAGATGCGCCAAGCCGAAGGCTATATAGGCTAGTGTGACCGAATCAGCACCCGGCGTGCGCGGATTAGGGTCGAGAGCGTCCTTGCAAAATTTGTAATCGAGTGTTCGGTTGTAGATGTCGTTGACGAGCTCAGAATCGGCGGCGACAGCCGAGGATTCGATGATGATCGACGCAAGAGAGGCAAAGAACGTGAGATTGCAGAAGAGAAGGAGCATCAGATGTTGCCATCGTTCTCTTTCCTCTAACTGAACTTTGGGGAATGGTTGAATCTTGCTTACAGGAGCCCAGTTGATCTCTGCTTAAATAGGAAAGATAGATGTAAAAATTTGCAGGGATTAACAGGATTGTATCAATTCATTGCGGCTACATGGAGGTTTCTGCGACGTAATTTTGGATGGAAAGGATATAACTAAATCTTGATCCTGATTTTAGTACCAAAATGAGCTAGCAACATGTCATTTACTATATCTGTCCAATAGTATCAGTCAAGGAAGGAAGATTTAGGTGCATATCAGCAAGCCTTTTGTCATCAAGTCCATCTGTAGTAAGACCATAATCAGTTGCTATCCAAGCACATTAATATGATAAAGCCAATTCATCAATTATACGACCTCGAGTTGATTCTGTTATGACGAGGAATGCCGACCATAGGCTATCAAGTTTAGTCATCATCGCGTGCACCTAAAGTGATGGACCGACAGTGATTAATCTTGTGTAGCACACAAGTTAGCGACAGCAACACATGTTTTCGAGAGACCTCTAAGATCCCTATTATTATCGAACATTGATGAAGGTGATCTCCTCCTAAAGCCCCATTTGCAATCGTCTGTGACCTTACCAGCAATCATCGCCAAGTCAGCCAATCCAAAGAAGCTCTTGGGGTCCAAGTCACCTAATGCTTCTTCAAGTTTCACTACGGCCTTCTCATAATCGTTTCGACACTGCTGGATGCACTGGTGCACGGACCTGGACCGGTCGTGTTATTTGGCATCGAAGTTGTGTAACCTCGGGTGCTCAAAGCTTTATGATACACCAAGCCAAAGGCTATGTGGGCCGGTGTGTAGTCGTCAGCATCAGGTGCGCGCAGATCAGAATAAAGAGATGTAGTGCAGAATGTAGTTGGATGTTTGCTTGCAGACCTTGTCGACCAGCTCAGTCACGACTATGGCACAAAAGGACTGAAGGATGACAAGATGAGGAAGACAGGATATGTCATGAATAAGATGCTGTCATTATCTTGTGTTGCTTTTGAATCTTGAAGATGGCTGAGCTGTGCTTTTCTAGCTTTAACAAACATGAACAGAATTAACACTGCCGAAGAATGGGAAGCTGAGAGAAATGAAATTCACAGAGCTAACATTTTAAGATGAATCATTTGAAGCTGAATGGCATAAGGATTTCGGGGTAATGCTCTCAATCAAATTGGTGCTTCAAATAGCCTGAACACTCGTTCTATAGTGTATCATTATCATACCATAGATGCACGAGTCTAACAATAGCCTAAGGTAGGCTCAAATTTACCACTTTTGATCAAATCCAGTAACCTGCCTATCATCCTCAGCAGTGTAATTCATACAAGGGACAAACGTGCTATGACTTCCTCACTATCCTCTATGTCTTTCACTCTTCAAGTGCTATAACAGACATTTCCACGCCGTAACTCCTGACACACCAAGTGTCCGCTTCGGTAACGACTACGAGCACACTGGAAATGATTGATAGAGTGATCATCCAATACAGGGAAAAATCAAGAAGCCAGCTCTCTGAAGATCAAAACGAGACCTAGCAAGAAAAGGGGAATAAGATCGAAAGTGAATTTCATTTAGAATCGGAATGATCCGATGTGTGTTGAATGAAGTGCAACGGGCAAGTATCCCGGTGTTTGCTTTTCCTTAGGATTTCATGAAGCAGTGAAAGACCAAAATCTCACTGTACCATGACAGCAGAAATGGACAGGAAAAGTATACATGAATGAGCGAAATGCACAAGGGGTTTGCGGACAAGATCAGACAGACTTCACTTCAAACGAAAAATTCACTTTACAGGATGGTAATGGTATTAATTACATTGATAATTTGATAAGCATATCTTGGTATTAAAGCAAGCTCGTTTCATCGGTACACTCTTTTAGAATTGACATGCTAAAATGCATTATCGAGCCATATGTTAGATATCTGTCATCCTCTTAGGCATCGAGCATTATATTGCAATGATTCCATGAACGGCTCTGAGTTGATCGACCAGAAAAACCAGAAGATACCCACGTTTTGATTCTGGAATGAACAACTTCTGTCAAAGGGCATCACGAGCACCGGCCACTAGACCTGATACCCAGCAGGACGCTCCTGTCGAGTCCAGATCAGACCAGTGCATTAAGCAGAACTGCAATTACTCGAAAAAGAGACAGAATCTCCCTAGATTGCACTTCTATCTTGCACGTTTGTCAAAAATAGATTGGAGGAGGGCTCAAAACGTGTCGAGAAAATTTCCAAACTGCTAAAACTTGGCCTATTTTGTCAATCTCTGCATCTTGTTACAATGTTGGATTTAGAAATAGGTGTTGGACCAGCATAAATCTCTCTGCCAAGACATGTGAAGCATATTGGAGAACATGCCACACCACGAAAATTATCTAAACGTTCGTCATGGTACCTGTCTTTGTCAAGGCCCCCAGTTCACTTATAATGCAGCAATCCATATCTACATCTTCGCTCGCCAAAATGGTCATGAACTCACATAGTCCATTTCCTTGTGATTATTTCTATGTCCGGACCGATGCAGGCTATGACGAAATCATTCAAAAAGTCCGAGGTTTATGTAGGGACTATACCGAATGTGCATGTGAGCATATAGATTTAAGTCCCTGTCATGGCGTCACTATCTTTTCACAACACTAACTATGGCAAACTTTGAACTGTCAATGCACGCAACAACAACCAACGACAAGGAGGAGGTTATTTTAAACGATACCCGAGTCTACATTGACACAGACGACATGTGACGAGCTTTTGCAGCTGCTTCAGTCGTCCCGAATCCGAGGCAACCAACCATGCAGATGCAGAGCAAATGAAGGAACAATCTCCCTCCTTCACAACTTATCGAACAACAAGGAGATCTAATTGTCAATTGTCGCAACGAGGAGTGCTAATGCTCCGGACAATCAGCGCGGGCAGTGCCACTGTCTAATCACATCCCGCTTGTTCCGGTCATCTAAATCCTAGTTGCATATATTCAATTTTCCCTAGCCATTCAAATTTCAAGCCTGACATCAACGCGCAACATATCATTTGTACCCAGATTAATATAAGTTCACTTTTACTTTTTGGTCAGGCATGTAAGTTTAATTTTGAAAGCACCTGACGTGGCCCTTTGTCATCTTTCCTTTAACTATTCACACGTTTAGTGGGATTAGGTGACCGAAATTGGTGGGATTCCGTTCAACGCATGAATTTCAAAACAAAAGATGTAGATTTAATTTTTACAACGTACTTGAAATCGAAATTCAATAATTCAATAGCAAAAATTCACTAAAAATTCAGTGATCCAGGATGGCAAAGTGCAGATCAGCACCAGACTCATCACCAAACATTCATCAATCCAATTTTTTTCTTTCTCTACGGAACACAAGAATACAATCAAAAAGAGAAAAGAAAGCATGTGGGGGCCAACACCCACCATAAGTATTCGCCGAAAGGTGGGGGAGGACCCATATGATTGCTTGACAACCACCACCGCCCCCACCACCCTCACTCATCTTCATCTCCAACCGTAATTGAAGGGCAAATGACTCCCAAATGACAAGAATATATATATATACCAAACATGCAATTTCTTTAAACACCAAGGATATGTTTGCATGTGATGAGCCTCAAGCAATTAATAATTTCAGTTCATACTGGACCGACCACATGTGGGGTTCGTACGCTGGCCTCACCCAGATCTCAGTCTTGAGTACCATCACTGTATCCGCACATTTGACAGCTATTTCCCTTCCCAACTTCACAGCAAAAAGCTCACACCATTCATTATCATCCTTACCTAACATTATATATACGCACACGGAAACTACAACACAGTCCCAAACAAAACCTACTAAAAAATCAGTCCTTGCTATATTTCACATCTGTCGGCAGTGTGCAGAAAAGGACAAATGATGCACACTGGCTGTACTCTGGTTAAACAATGTAAAGATTCAAAACCCTCTTTCTTTGTCCTTTTGAAAGAAGGAAGATGTCTGACAGTAAACTCACCGATTAGAACATTCATTAGGAGAAACCCAAAAAGGGCACTAGAATTCTAGAACAACCCTTCATCCGTAGGTGAAGGGCACGACATGGTCAGGAACTCAATAGAAAACCCTACACATTCTGGCAATAAGTTCATTGGCATGAGCAAACGAGTCGAATGTCGAGGAGAGGAGAATCATGCTCGAGAAGATTAACATTGATTCTAAAGATACATTGCCAAAAAAAAAAAACACTAGCTTCATTCATTTACAAATTTCACCTGCACTTTTTGCTACAAGGAACAGAGCATTGCATAACTCGTTCTCGAACAAAATCTACCATGCCCAAAAATGAACCAAGAAAAGAAAAAGAAGGGGGAAAACTGAAATGTGTACAGAAAGAATCAGAGAGCGTGAATTCCTGACAAAAAACAAGGGACTACACGGAGAGTGATGCGGACCTGTAAGAATAGGTATCTTGATGCTCAGGTAGTGTCACTGAAGGGCAAATCCAGAGTTGGTTTATGGATTGATGTTGCACTCCCGCAGATAGACGTGATCGTAATCGACATACTTTGTCCAATAGTTCCGGTACTTGGGAATGCCTATCTCAAGCCACGGTTTCATGTTGCCGTTGTAGTGAATGACGGCAGCCCGCTCTATTTCCCTCTGGTTGACATTAGGATTATAACCTAGTCCCAGCACATGCCACGACCGATCAAGTGGATAAGTGCGATTCCAGAATGTAATAAGGCCAGGTGGCAGGGTCCCCAACTTCCACAATTGTCTGTCATGATTCTGCAAAAAGAAATTATTTTCAGTGATTGAAGAGAGGAGCAACTCAGGCCTAGTTGTCATCAATTACATTGACTGATTGGACAATAAAATTTTCTGCCCGAGGCTATTGCTTTAATATAGTATCATGAGATAAGCACAGTAGTTGAGTTAAAAAAGCATTGACCACCTGATACTCTAGTTCCAAATCCCTCCACCATGGTAGCGTATATATGTAAGTTTGGCATTCTATTCATTCTTTAAAACATGTAGCTTCACTTGTACTAGTCAGACTGTATGAACAAACAATGAAAGATGTATCGAACTGAATATAAGAATGTCCCAGTGACTACTTACAAGTTTCTGCCAATTGTGGTACACTTCCGTGATGTTTTGCCTCTTCCATTCCTTCAAGTCAAAGACGTTCATGCCATATGCCCAGCCACAAGCACGGGGATCGAAATTCTTTGAGATGAGAGGATTAGAAAAATTGAGATAGCGATCAAAGCGATGGAAGCTTTCCCCACAAGTCTCCACCGCACCATTGACCTTTCCCTTCAAATTGAGGGACCACAGACCAGTGAGGTCCTTTCGTACTACTATATCATCATCTAAAAACAGCAACTTATCCAGCTTGGGGAAGATCTCCGGTAGGTAAAATCGAAGATGGTTCAAAATAGATAAGTACTTAGGGTTCCTGTACTTCAGATTTGAATCAGAATTCCCACGATGAGTCCTGAAGTAATAATCGACCATGGATGGAGAACCTAACTGCTTGAGCACTGGACTGTAGCTCGAGTTTAACCAGGTAAATTCTTCTATATTCTGGACTTGAATAGTGGCTTTCCCCGGAGGATTTACCAAGAACCACATCCTCATTGCTGCATAGTTGAGCCGGTCTGTAACAACATGGAAGACGTGTTTCGAGGGTTCCTGTCCATGATCCCGAAAGAAATAAAAAAGAAGTCAAGCCAAAAAGAAAAGGAAAAGAAAAGCAGAAGCATCACAACATTACCATTTCACCTAGTCACTAAGTTTCCTACCATTTACTTTCTTCTTGGAAGCCAATCTCAATAGAGTTAATCTTTACAGGAAAACAAAGATACCTTCGCATGGGTGATAGTTGAGTTCACAACAACAGCTGCTGCCAACACGTTATCAGAGAACAGCGCATAATGGAACAGCCGGGGGTCCTCCAATTTCTCTTGGTTTGGGAAATGCTGTTGGGTAGAATTCAAGGCATAGTACTCACTAGTAAGGCGTAAAGGAAGACAATGAAGACCCTTGGGAAGGGTTTTTGCAGTCAACTGTGTCAAGAACAGCGTCTGCTTCTTGTGCACTCGAAGCTGCTCTTCCGTTGAATGGAGCATAGCCCTAAGTTTCCGTACAATAGCAGCGCAGTCATCTTGAATTTGGTTGCCTTTGGCCAATGTTTGCTCCATAGCTTTCAACCGGTCATAGGAGCTGCACATTTCATGGCACTCTCTGTCAGTTCTCATAGCTAAACAAGATGAGAAAATGAATCACATTTAAAATCATACATCTGTATGTGCCAATCGAGATATTAGTATAGACTCGCATACATATGAAAGCATGCGACTGGTGATCTTAGCAGTAGAGACCCATCAACTTACTTCCTCGGCAGATCGGAATCTTTAGATGCTGCCCCAAGCACTCGTTGAACTTCTTTGATCCGCTGTCGAAGCTCTCTAGTAAAATGAGGATTGTTCTTAGTGGCTGGTAGAGATAAGTAAACTTTGGCCCTGATCAACTGATCTTTAAGCTGCCGGACACGAGCATCGGGCATTGCCATTTGCCCATTCTGTCCCTCTCCAGATTTTGCAGTCTCTTGTTTTCCAGGGATGACCGGAGTCTTAGGAGACTGGTCTTCAGATTTCACTTCCTGAACAAGAATTGTGAAATCTTAATTATATGGAGTCAAATTACACTCTCTGAGACCTAAAAGTTTGTGCATTTCTTAATAAATTTTCAATTTCAATTGAAACATTCGAGAAATCAACCAAAAAACCGTGCATAGGAGTTGATGGCCTTAAACAACAAAACTGATGAATAAAATCAATCAATCAATCAACTGCGTTCTCCACCTCGACAAATAAGAAAGGAAGGACAAAAGAAGATTTCCATAAGCAATTAAGTTTGATTGTCAAATTCTAAAGTCACTACCAATGCCCAACCCCATATGCATTGTGAAAAATACTCAGACCCTTGTAACAAAACACTAACCCAAAAGTTAAAGCAACTAAAAGAGCTCCTTAACTGAAAACATCAATTTCAACCCAAGGCGTGCCTGCAAGTTGTATTAGTTTAGGACCAAGACCAAAAACACAAAACAAGCCCTTACTGCACCATATACTCAATAACTAAGAGATTTGACGAGCCAACCCGCTACATGAAAACTAGTCAGGGTAGAGATGAATTTACCACATTCTGTGCAACATGATTTGATGATGACCGCCCGGAAACTTTAGCATTCCCATCCCTGTCCTTATGAATTTTCCCATCTCTCCTGACTTCATTTTCAATTGCTACAGTAGACTTTTCCGAAATTCCACTCTGCATTTGTTGAATTTTCCCATCAGTTACCTGTCTGATGGGGTTCTCCTTTTGAGCTTGACCGTCATCCGCCGTCGTCGCCGACAAAACTCTTGCAGATTTATGCTCTATTCCCTCTTGTTTTTGCAAATCTAATTTATAATATCAACAAAATGAAAATTCAATAAATTTTTCAAGAAAAACTTCCACTGCTTGACCAAATTTTTCTAGGACAAGATTGACAACTTTTATCACACAATTTAATGTGGAGAAGAAACAGCTAAACAAATCCAAATCCAAATCCAAATCAAACAGATTAATCGATCAGGAAAGCGTACCTTTAGTTATATTATCTGTGTACACTAATCCAATCGGTTCTTTAAGAGTTGCCGATGATTCCTGCATTCAAACAGAAAGGGGGTGAGAGCGAGATCTCAGTAAATTAACAGCACGAACAACCACAGAAAAAAGAGAGAATAAAAATAAAAGCAACAGAAGAAATAATTAAAACACCAGGACTAATATACCTGCGGAAGCACATTCAAACGCTCTGCATCACCACTTAAAGTCTGAGCATCAAACACCAAGCAAAAAACACCAAAAATCAGCAATCAATCGTTTTGGGTGCTCGTGAAATAAATCTACAATTGCAAGTTGGAGTAACTTACAAAGGATGTGACTTCCTCTATGAATTCATTCCTAGCTGCAAGAAATAGACAAAGGGGGAAAACAACCAATTCACGTTAGACTGAGGAAGAGAGAGAGGGAGAGAGAGATGGGAATCAATCAATCTGAAGTTTCGGGGGGTAAGATTCATTTCTTGAAAGAACTTGTGGGAAAATCATAAAAAGCTACAAAGAGAAACTTACAAGAGGCAGATTTGAAAGTGCCGATTCTATCGGTGTAGAGCACAATCGGAGCAATAACCGTCACCAGCAGCATCAACACCACGGCATTCCTCACCAACATCATCCCTTCCTCTCGCCCCTCTCGCAACCCAAAGAACTTTCAACCCCAGATGCCCAAACGAACAAGAAAGAAAGCAAAGAAAAACCCAGAAAGCTCCTCCCTTGGGGACGAAAACGAAGACCCAGATGGCGGCTTCTCGAAACCAAGCTCCTGGAAACTCGAACCTGAAGTCACATTGAAGGAAACGCCGCGAAAGAAGCGCCGGCTCGCTGTTGGGGCTTTGAGAATTCTTGCGGGAGAAGGCGTTTGTGTGTGTTCTGCAACTGGGTAAAGTAAAGCGAGGAGAGAGAGAGAGATGGATTGTTGAAAGTGGGTTTTTCAATATTCCGCCATTATCATCTCTTCCCTTCGGTGGACCCGGAAAGGTTAAAAGGATGCAGGCGTGGAGAAGAAAACGCGAAGTGGGAGACGAGACGGTACGCGGCAGGGACGCGAAGGGTTCACGGGTGAGAGAGGGAGCACACGCGTGAACGAAGAAAAACACACGCGTACTCACTCACTCTTGGTTAAAAAAATAAGGAAAAAGGACAAATAGAAAGAAAGAGAGAGTCTTTTTTTTTTTTTTTGTGTGATTTTCTTTTTGTTGCCCAAAAAAGGGGAAAATAATATCACCATACTTCTAGTGAAATATATTTGGCGAATAGAGGGTGTAATTTCGACCGAGAATAAAGAATAGAGGGTGTAATGTATTTTATTTGAGTTAATACCACAAAAAATCCCAAACTGGTACACCTGTGATAAATTTACCCTTCGTTAATTTCCGTTAATTTTTACTGTCAAATTGCTGAGTTAAACGACACATGGCAATTGACGAGTGCACCAATTTGAGGTTTTACCTTTCGTTTTGTCACATGTATGATAATCAAATTTAACGGAAACTAACAGAGGGTAAATTTGTCACAATTGTACCGGTTTGGAGTTTTTGGTGGTCAAAAAATTAATTTATGGTAAATTTGTCATAGGTGTATCAGTTTGGAATTTTCAATGATCAAAAAATTAATTTGGAGTAGATTTATCACGGATGTGCTAGTTTGGAGTTTTTTTTGTAGTATTAACCCATTTATTTCTTTTCTTTTCTTGCTCTAGAGTCTTTGCTATTTCATAGTCTATCCATCGGGTAGGAATCTGCATTTGTTGGGAATTTCTGTGAAAAGTAAATTAACTCAAGGTAAATATATCATAAGAGTACCAGTATGGAATTTCTGAGGAGACGAATGCTAATTTTGAGAAAATGTGTCATAAGGTATCGGTTTGACATCTTTAATGATATTAACCCTAATAATTATCACCACCATTATTTTATTTTATTTTATTCTTTTCTTTTCTTAATTTTGGAAGCTGACTATTTTGTTTGGGTCTTCTTTCTAGAGTAGCAGCATAAGAACTTCTCTCTTTCCATGCTTTGAATAGGGTTCATTCACAAGGTTTTCTACAAAAGTGAAATTGCTCACCAGCTACCAACCATAATAAATTGCTTGCCCTAACCATAGATCCAAAGATAGTGATCGAGTGATAAATGCCCATTTTGTCAACGCGGTGTCAATGAAATAAGGAATTTAAGTTTCAGTTTCTCGATCCAATAAATAAATGAGTAGTTCAATCAGTGCGTAACAAGTATTGTGAAATTTCTTATTGTCTTCCAACATGAGCTAGGGTGTATCGAGACATCCTATTTTCGATTCATTTGACTCGTAATTTCGTATTATTTCAATACAATCTGATCAGAAAAACTTCTCGACCCATTATTTAACTCCTAATTTTTTTTTAAAAAGCAGTATCTGCGCTCGATGTATCTCCGACCGCTTGTTTCGCCAGGGAATCAAAAGTGCCGTAATTCCAATCTCGAAACCGTTATACTCGGGTTGATTTATCCGACGTAGCTAATCGTGGGTTTTTATTAAGACTCGAAACGATGCCGCCTTCGAAACATTCTCGTCCCTTTTGAACCCGACGAAGCCATGAGATCATTTCACAAGCCTAGGGCATCTGAACTGAGTCCTCAAATGATGTATCCCCACATGCTCCAAACAACCAAATTAGTTTAACTTAGGACATAGGCAAGAGCCGAAACTAGCACTCTATACCATACCAAAAAGAAGAAGAAGAAGAAGAAGAAGAAGAAAAATCAACTTAATCATAATATTATATTGGTTGAAAATATAGCAACTGAGATTGGACTAATACAACACGCATTCAGTCAACCAAACCCCAAGGCATCCGGAAGCACCCACAATTAGAAAACGACCAGTCTTTATAAGACAAGGGCCCCCCATAATTTTAATTGACTGCCACTTTTAGCAAAAAAAGATCAAACGAAAATCGAAATTATTTTAAAAAATAAAAATGGACAATATAATAATTGTTGACAAGAAATGGAGAATGATAATAAAGAAAGAGCGCTGGGGACCGAAAGTGTCGGCACAACGGCTCTGTCCGCGTGGCCGAGGCTGTGTCCCTGCTCGTGCGATGCTGTTGTGTTGGGGTCCCCCCAACAGTTAAATCACATCTTCATTTTTGTCTGCTTTTTTTCAATTTTTGATTTTTTTTGTTATTTAAAAATAGAATAAAAGCAAGTTTTGTTTTTTCTCTTTCTCCAATGGCCTTTCAAACAGTGAATTTCCAAATTTAATTTGTAATTTTCCCCCCCATGGATCTTGATAGTTGCCACATGCCCTTTTTGGGCTGAAATTGACTGGATCCATTCTCTCTCTCTCTCTCTTCAAGTCCCATGGTGAGCGGTCAGCATTGGAGAGCAATATTACTAATTTTCTGCTGCCTAACGTTGATTTGTTCAGTGAAAAATGAATGATTTAAAAAATATTTATTTAAAATTAATCGCTTGTATCTCTTACAAAAATGAATTAGCGAAAAAAATATATACAAGCGAAGATGGTTAGACATAAATTGCTGTCGATGATAAAAATATTTTTTATTGACTAATAAATTCAAGAGATATGAGAGATCATTTTTTAGGAAAATATTTTTTCAAAATTATTTTCTTTTTTTTGCGAAGCAAACGAAACCTCAGAATCGTTTAGCATCAAACTATATCCACCTCATCGTTCTTTTTGTTTTTCTTTATTTTGCACATTTGAAAAACCAATTTATCCTTACTGCTAGTTGTGAATCGTGAAGTCATATCCGACACTAAATAAGAATTTGTCTTGTTACTAAAAGAAATCGGTTTTATAAACCAGCATTATAATATCTGCAAATGCCACTTTTTAACATATGGTGGGGGTCCAGAGCACGCTAAACCGGGGTTCCTTTATGGGAAATGTCATGTTTATCGTTATTATTTTTTTGTCGTTGACTATTTGGGAGCGAGGGAGATGTTTTAGTTTGTTTTGGAGTCTTTTGCTGACAAATGCCATGTGATTGGGACCTGAACATCATGAACCAAGAGACAGGCAATTCTATTCATTTGAAAGTTTAGGCCCAGCCCAAACTCAGTGGATCTGAAGCTTCAGAGCTTGATGAGAAAGCTCGGCCCGGATCATGAAAAATCGTTCGGTTCGGTTCGGTTCGGCTCGGGTCCAATTTTTTAGATGGGAAAATTAATTTTTCAAAATTAATTAATATATCAGATTCTAAGATCAAAACCTGGAAATCCCAAATCATTTGCTCATGTAATCATCAGTAAAAAAACATAACAGCGATCGAGATTCTAAAAATTTGAGTTATAGTCACAAACAGCATCTAAGAAACAATCAAAACATGGATAGAGTTGTGCATCAAAATGTTTATAAGTAGGTAAGGTTGGCCTTTATAGCTTGGAGGCCGAAATCGAGCACGACTTGAAAAGGAGGCCCAAAAATCTTGAATTGGGCTACATCAGGACTAGCAAAATCAGGCTAGATAAAGTTTTGGGAAAGTGATTTGTGTCTAGAGTTGGTATGTTTCGTGAAAAATGGATGATAGACGATAATTTATATCTAAATATTTTTGTGGACTACTAAGATATTTTTTGTTCATTCATTGTTGTAAGTGATACACAAGTGATCATTTTTATAAAAAAAATTGAAAAACATTCATTTTTTACAAAATAAACGGAGCCCTAAATAAGGTTCTTTGATTCCAAAAATATGTGCTCATAGTCGGTCTTCGGAACTACATCAATGCATTACTTGGCTTCTTTCTTTGGTGAGGTTTGCAACATTGATGTGTTGGCCACTGTAAGATTGAAAGAACATCAGCTATGCTCATCTCAAAACTGATTAAGATATATGCGACTGTCTCGGCATACCTGAGACTTGTCATGTCTTTTCTTGAAGAACTGTTGATATGTTCGGTCGTTGACCATGCAAACGCATTAAATCACATTGATATAAACAAAATCCAACAAACAAATAAGAAAACAAAAACTATATGAAAAGTGAAAATTGGATGATGTATGTGGAGGATTGCAACGTTGAGTTGGTTCAGAACCCTCCTTCAAGGGGCTGATTGAGGACGGAGCTCCAAATGCAATCCAGCCCCTCCAAATCATCACCGCCTTGCGCCGGCGACTGTTGTTGGTCCGGCAACAATGTGTCGTGATTGTCGCCTGGTGAATCTAGCAACAACGCCGAGTTCTGGCAAGACGGCAACAGCTCGCAGAGCTCCATGCCATGGTCAGCAGCCGCGAACGACGGCGAGAACGAGAACGCGTCCTCGGCTTTGCTCTCGCCGTCCTCCTCCGACCCGAAGATCATGCCATCGCCTTCCCTCAGCCATGGGAAATCGAACACTCCCAAGGAGGACATGCAATAGTCCCACTCATCCAATTCTTCATCATTGCAATTACCCTTGTCCTCTAATTTTTGGTCTCCATGATCTTCATAATTGTTGCTGTGCTCGTAACTAACGCCAACTAATTGTCTCTTTGAGGAGGTGTTGTCTGAGGTGTCAACCTTGTCCTCCTCCACATCTCCTTCCCTTCCTCTTTTCCTGCTCTGAGGCTCCATCATTTTCACTCAGCTTTCTGTCAAGAAAATAATTACTGGCTCAGGAATAAAATCCATGCAAGATGATGCACATCAAAGGAACACTGATCTGACCATCATATGGTTGATCTGCATAAAATGGAGCACCAGTAAATGAAGGCAGTGGAATTTATGAAGGGAGAAGGCAAGTCATTGCAAGCAAAAACATGATTCTGCACAACTATGCATGACAAAAGAAAGAATTTATACAACTTTAAACCAGTGAATAACATAGTCAAGAGACCCAGAATTCAGATGAACATAATTTAGGCTTTCTTGAGCCAAACCTGCGAATGCAGTTGCTCTTCCTTCGTCACCAGCCCCAACTTGAATTGTTTTCTCTACAGAGAGACATACATTTACAGCTAACACGCGTACCTTTATATAACTTCTCTCTTTTTTCTTTCTTTTCCTGTTTTTTTTTTTTTGGACAATATTGGTGCAGCAAGGAAGGATGAAGGAGAAGGTGAAGGTGGTTGCTTTTTTTGCGGGGGGATTTGAAACGCCTGAAGCTGATTAAATCTTTTCTTTTTGTTGTTGGTGTTTTTTTGTGAACGGGGACTAAAATTAGTGAAGGTGAAGGCACCACCATGCAAGAGCGTTTCTCGTTCCCATGGTTGCCTCTCAGTCCACCAAGGCACACCTTCTGCTCTTGTCTTGCCACGCAGTTGCCAAGAGTCACCTCCTTCTTCTCTCTCTCTCTCTCTCCCCCTCCCACATCCACACCCACACACAACCTCACCTGAAATTTCTTTTTATGTTTTTCTATATATTTTTCATCATCTACAATAACCCTTCATTTCCCTAGGATGAATGTACATCTGTACATTGTAATGCAAGACTCAATAACCCTTTCTTCTAACATGCTCTGTAATGCAAACACATGTTTTCACAGCCTTTGGAACAGTCAAGAAATTCCCTCACTAGGTTACTCATATTTTTTGGGCTGAAAAGAGCTTGAGGATTGACTTGTCTAGGTAAATCCTATGTAACTATTACTCGAAAAGCCCTACTTTAAAGCTCTATCTTTTGTCCTTAATCTCTCTTTTGATTCATTGTTTATTCATGGCCGGATGATGAGGCAGAGACGAGCTTTTTTGGGTGCGAAACCGCCTTGTCCATTTGTTTTTCTCCTCGCTTGGTAAGAGGAAGGAAGCAGAAAATGGCTGATTTACCAACAAACCCTGTATCTGTCATTTTTCATGCAACAGCAAAGCATGAATCAAACTACTACATCATGAGTTTTATTTGTTATGAAAATGTCTGAAATTGGCAACTGTACGGACGATATCCATGACCAATGAAAATGACTCCAGTAAAAGACAGAAAGATGTGAATCAAGAACTAGATGACGTGCATTTTCCCTCTTTTATTTTGCCGTCATTTTGCCGCCGTTCGACCCTCAGTACTGAGCCTATGTACAAGGAACCGTGGCGAAACACAGGGAAGCTATGCTTAAATGATGAGATCAGGGAGGGAGAGGAGAGAGCACGAAATTGCAAATCATTGATTCTATAATTTTACACCGCTGAACAATGAAGTGGGTCAAAATTGAAACTGAACGAGAAACAAGATACATCACCCTTTGTCTCACATGATGCAGAAGATGCATTTCCTGAAGGGTACCTAAATTTGGCCCTAAGGAGATTCAGTACCGTTCAACCTTGAACCTTGAAACGACATGCAGCTTGCGGGGCCTCTATCCTGTCAAATTCGACATATGCATATTCTGTGATACGCGAGAACACTGTCCATGTGACATGGGAAAAAAGAGAGTTCTTCATTGTTATGACAACTACATGGGCATACGTCTCGCCAACCTCAGAAAGTTGCTCTTGCTTCCTTGTTATCCGCTTTCAACATGATCTTCACTTATGATTTCCTTTTGATAGAAAAGACCATGCTTTTCTAGCTTTTCTAGCATAAGAATCGTCTTATGCTTAATATCAAGCTTCATCACTTGATCACCTCGTCTGTGTGAACAAAAATTAACCAAGGAATAAGCTCTCACCCGAGATTCATGTCTATCCAGATATATAAAATCTAACTCCGGTATGAGCGTGCACAAGCTATAAATTTTGTGTATGTAATGAGCATGCAAACCATCAATCGAGATGCCATCCTGATGGTGCCCATTATTGCTTGATCCATAATGAACATGCAACCAGGCTGATCATCCCTTTCTTCGCTGCCCTATGACAAAGCTCATGAAAGAGATGGTGTGCTGATTACCACAAAGACAAAAACTCCACTTTCTGGCTTTCCATGATTCGCCATAGCCTATGTCCTTAAAAAATCCAGCATTACCCCATGCATTCATTCAGCTCATTCAGAGACCACGCCGATCTACCTTTTGGGAGCTTCCTAAAGGGACTCTAATTCCACCAACTCCACCAGACCCCCCGTTACTACTATTGCAGGGCACAGAACCTGCTTTGGTGTGCGCCAAGCAGGCAATGCCAATAGTTCGAATTTGTGGCCGATAAAGCAGCAGATAAGTAAGCAATAGAATCACTAATCACCACAGTCAGCTTCATATGGCTATGCATTCTAACTTGCATTATTGATTACCAATAGTCCCCGCAGGAACAGAAGCCATCATGGAAATGATGGAATCTATTGGTATCTCTCAGGATGATTTCTCGATCCAACACCTTAGATGCGAACTTAAATGCCGAGTGACAATCGCCACAAACTCTGATGTTCTTCTTGATCCGAATGGTAGATCCAGGGGGTGTATTTAGAAGTGCAAATGCCAAAGCAAGCTTCTCGCTATGGTGTTGCAATCTCGATTCCCTCTCTTGTTCGTCCGCAAAGAAAAGCACATGGCTAGTGTCTGGAACATAACCCATCTCCTTAATCTTTGCACTGACTTCTTCCCACATCTTTCGGATTTCTTTTCCATGTGGATGAGAATCATCATTAGCCACAAACATATGGACCTTGTTCTCGATATCCACCCAACTACATGCGGGCTCCTTTTTCACCCCACTCTTCTGCATCATCCTTCTCACTTTAACCACATTGCCCCATCTACCCGCTGAAGCATATATGTTAGACAACAACACATGGGGCCCCGAATCATTGGGATCAAGCTCGAAAACCCGCTCTGCTGCATATGCACCCAACTTCATGTCTTTATGCATCCTACAAGCACCAAGCAATGCTCCCCAGATTTCGGCTGTAGGTTCAATAGGCATCTCCTCTATGAACTTTTTCGCTCGATCCAAAAGACCCGCTCGACCCAGAAGATCAACTATTGTTGCGTGATGCACAATGCGTGCCTCAACATTATACTTCTTCATCAAATGAAAATAGTACTGCCCTTCGTCCAAAAGTCCAGCATGACTACAAGCGTTCAGAACACAGAGGAAGGTTATGTCATTCGGTTGAATTCCTATCCTCAGCATTTCTTTGAATTTGCTCACACATTCCCTCCCACGCCCATGTTTAGCATATCCAGTGAGCAGTGAATTCCAAGAAACTAAATCCCGTCTCAACAACCTATAAAAAACTTTTTCAGCATCCTCAATGCTACCAGACTTTGCATACATGACGAGGAGAGCATTTCCCACGAACTCAATAAGCTGACCCCCTGATTTGATCATATGTGCGTGAACCCATCTGCCCTGCTCCAAAGATCCTGTGGCCGATAAGGCACCATACACACTCGAGTACGTGAAATGAGTGGGTTCGAAACCAGTCCTCAGCATCTCCTGGAGCATACGAAGAGCACGCTCGCCCTCACCTTTCCTAGCATATCCAGCAATCAAAGCATTCCACGACACCTCATTCTTGTTCACCAGCACACAGAAAATCGACCACGCTTCATCAATTCGGTCATGCTTAGCATACATGTCAACCAAAGCACTACCGACATAAAGATTCGAACAATATCCACATTTCAAACAATAGGCATGAACCTGCCTACCGCACTTATCACTAGGCCAGAACCCAAGAGCCTTGAGAAGGCTGGACAAAGTAAACTCATTTGGCTGCAAACCCATCTGAAGCATCCGCGGAAACAAAGCAACCGCCCCATCAGACTGGTTGTTCTGGGAATACCCAGTTATCATAGTAGTCCAAGTAACCATATCTCTCACGGGCATTTCATCGAACAACGTCCGAGCCTCACCCATGAGACCACACTTGGCATACATGTTGAGTATTGTATTATGGATAAGCCTGTCATGCTTGAACATCGACTTGAGAACGTGGGCACAAACCAGCCTCCCCTCATTAATCTTCTTCAACTGGGTACATCTCCTCAGCATGCTGTTATACAGAGCTCGATCAGGTTGCAGCAACCCACGATCGAGCAAGTCGAGGACGTGAAGCCCAGACCCAGAACCGGGGCTTCTGCGAAGAAGGTCCTTGGCCTGTATGACGCAAGGTTCATTCGAGCTCTCGGCCTCTGACGCATCTGGGTCGGAGAAGTCTGCACGAGTCGCAGAGGAGGTAACGGGTCTCGAGGCGACTGATGCAGTGATCGCGTACTTGTTGCAAGCGAAAGGGACGGTCTTGCGACACCAAGTTCGCATCTTCATCGCGAGATGGCGAAGAACACACGCCCGAGGGAATGTGGAACTGGATGCGCGACTGTGTCAACCCGCCATTGGGTTTTGCTCGAAGCCTTGCACAGGTTTGATTGCGCAGGCTGCAAGAATTATATATGACACCATAAAGTTGACTATTTATGAGTCAAATTAATTCCGTAGGCTTTCCAATTTTCCTAAAAATAATGCAAATTGAAGAAATCTAATTACTTTGACCAAAATAAGAAGAAGAAATCAAATTGCATGAATTCTTTTGAGCCATCGTTTAGGTAATTGCTCAAGGCCATGACCATGCAATTTGAAGAATTGGTTCTTGAACTAATAAGGGAAGAACATATAATAATTAAAGTTTCGTTAGAACGCTACCATTATTCCTACGGGGCGACGCTATTTTCACCCCATTTGGGCTAAGGCACTACTTTTTTTTTCAATTAACTGACGAAATACCCTTCTCTCTTCAATTTATTGATTTTTTTTTTCGTTAGGCTAACTGATAAATATGCATTTGTTTTTAATATCTCTATTATCAGTTTCACAATATAAATGCCCAATTATATCCAACTAGATATAAGTTGTTATTTCTAATTTATGTTATCATATTCTTAATCACAAAGCTACATTAAAGATTAACAATGTCTATTTATGATGCCTATGAACTCACAATTACTTACTTTTTATTAAATAGCTTGATTGAAACTTTATTTCGAAGTTTAAAATTAATATTCAATATATTTATCTAGCTGATCTTGATCTGTGTGTGTTTCTTTGGAATAAGGTTGTAGGTTTCTAAAGGAGAGAACTACAAAAATAGTTTTAAACCTATTACAATTGTACCAATTAAGTCTTAAACTTTTTTTCATGCCAATTGAATTCTAAACTTTTTGCATTTATGCCAATTCAATCCATTTAGTTAATTTTGGTTGGTCAGTGTTGACGTGGACGCTAGTAGTCCTATATGGCATGGTCGGTGCTGGCGTGAATAATTTTTAATAATTCTTGAAATTATTTATTTATTCTTTTTTTTTCCTTTTTTTATTTTCTTTCTTTTTCTTGTCCTCCCTTCATCTTCAACTTCTAGCTAGTCACCAGAACTCTGTGATCGGACAAAGTTGAGGGCTGGCAACGGTGGGCCTTACCCAACTTTGGTGAGGCTCGACCTTGCTATTGTTGGGCAAGGTCGACCTCGCCAGTAGCCAGTGGGGCTGACATTATTGGCCCTCGCCTCTGGCATCGGCTAAAGGTTGAAGATGAAGGGAGGAAAAAAAGAAATAAAAAAAAAGAAAAGGAAAATAATAAATAAATAAATAATTTGAAAAAATATATTAAAAATTATCCACGTTAGTGCCGGTTATGCCACGTAGGATTGCCAGCGTCTATGTTAGTGCCAGTCGGTCAAAATTGATCGAATAGACTGAATCAGCACAAATGCAAACAATTTACGACTTAATTGGTACAAAAAAAATGTTTAAAATTGAATTGGTACAATTGCAATAATTTTAGAACTGTTTAGGTAATTTTCCCACTTCTAAAGTTAAACATCGCTTTGTGACTAAAAAATGAGATCATAAAACCTTCTCCGAACAAAGTGATACTTAGATAGGAAAGGTAATTTTGTTGGTTAACCTAATAAAAAAGGAAACGAGAGAGAGAGAGAGAGAGAGAGAGAGAGAGAGAGAGAGAGAGAGAGAGAGAGAGAGAGAGAGAGAGAGAGAGAGAGAGAGAGAGAGAGAGAGAGAGAGAGAGAGAGTAATTTGGTCATTTGGTCATGTAACTAAAAATAATTTGGTCATTTGGTCATGTAACTAAAAAAAATAAGTGTCTACAACTTCAACTTTCGGGCATCTACGAAGGTTAAAAGTATATTAGCGATAATACATAAACGTAGATTAAAAAAAAAGATCGATTCTTCTTCTAGAAGAATTCCATAAGAACCTATTTTTAATCTTATTATGTTCCGACAAAAAAAATCTTATTATAGACTTAGATCAGAATCTTATATGCATATTAATAATTTAAGAACCTGGTGCAAAAAAAATCTTATTATACGCTTTGATCATAATCTTATATGCATATTAATAATCTAAGAACATGGTGCGGCGTGATTTGTAGAGAGTAGCCACATGACACATTCACATCAGCTCTACCTTACAAGGCTCGATCAGATGTCTACACCTTGTGATTTGTGATTCTAAAAACTCCCACGTAAATTCTCACCACATACACCCCTCGGTACCCTAGTGTTTTCTGTGGCAAGTTCGTTTTCCGCGGCAATTTCCCAAACGCCTTCTCCTAAAACGCGATGTTTACACCCACGTTTCTTTGGGGCTGCCATGCTCCGAAAATGTCAGCAATGCTTCCGGCGTTCGAAAATGACGCGCCACGACAAGTCAGTCATGTTATATACTGAATTCCAATCGATCCGTTCAACCATAACCCATCCGTTATGCCGCGTATCATAAGGGACGATCGGATTTATCCTTTTATGCCTAGTTTCCAATCCAACCGACCTCTTGTCCTGTGTGCTCTATGATGCGATGAGAAGTCACATCCGGACCGCAGTTTCCCAGTACATAGAAAACCAGCTCTCCTTGGAAAAAGCTTCAGCAGTTTTCCGTCTTTTTTTTGTGCATGACACTACTGCCTGTCTGTAATCAGGGCATCATCACGTGATGATCCCATTTTCCTGTGTTAAACAAGTCGTTCTTACTAATACAAAATGCATTCCTCTCCCTTTCTCTCTCTCTCTTAGCCCCACCAAAAGAGCGTTTGACGTGAACGGGTGGCCGATGATGATGCTGTCCAATTTAAGCATAAGTCGCTGTCCTTGAACCGTGCGCAAAACAGACCAAGAAAAGGAAAAAACTACCAAGGCGTACCATTTCAAGAAAAATTGTTGGCGCCCACTGCATCACTCTCTCTCCTCCTGCAACTCATTTAAAATCCATGGCCAGATCCTCAATCCTCCCCACACAAACTACAAAGTCTTCTCATCCCACACACAGTCAGTCAGTCCTGACAACCCAGAAGCTCTTTGCCCTCTTGACTTGCCTCGTGCTGCCTCTCGTCTGCAACATGTCGAGGCTTGTGTCCTTTCAGCTCCCGTACCTTCCTCCCAGCTCATGCCCTCCGGCGAGTTTCGGAAGATCGCATCCCAGGAGGTTCAATTTCGTCTCGGCGGCCGCCACCGCGACTGTCGAGCCGTTCTCGACGGTCGGGGACCCGTCGACCACGCTGTACCGAGTGCTTCGTGTCAAGGCTTCCGCCTCGCAGGCGGAGATCAAGGCTGCTTACCGTAGCTTGGCGAAGCTCTACCACCCGGACTCGGCTTCAATGAACGGAGGCGAGGGCGACTTCGTCCAGATTAATAATGCCTACGCCATCTTATCTGATCCAGTAGCCAGAGCTCGCTACGATTTGTCCATACATGCACACTGTAGTCCTAGATACTCAAGCATGGCGCCACGGCCAAACAGAAGATGGGAAACAGATCAATGCTGGTAGCTACGACAGGATGGACATGGAAAGCACTTTTTTTTTTGCAATATAAGTTTTGGCTTATCATTGTTTTGTAAGTGGTTGTCCAATCTGATTTTCCTAGTTTCAAAGCAGGATGGCGGTTTAAACCAGAAGTGAGATCTCTCTCTGCTTCCTGTCTTAACGTAGCCGAAACCCTTGGATACTACTGATGTTCCCTAAAACTAAGAACAGTTAAACCATAGTCTGGCATAGCGCCAACTAGTTCGATGCAAACAGAAAAAGCATTCGCAAGAACTCTGCTAACAACTTCAAATTGATACTTAAATCTTCAGCAGCAGTTGAATATAACGGTCGCAGCTGTTGATTGCACCAGAAAAAAAACGACTATCTACCCCAGATAATCACTGATAAGAGTGATAGGTGATGAATAGTCCTAGTTGCGCAATATACAGGAGGAGAGCTTGGAAATATTTTAAAACTCAATAGACTATTGTTGCCCAATTGGATGAATAGACAGTATTAAAAGAGAACTATGGATACAACTCACAATCCAATGAGCAAGTTAGATAGTAGTAGTAGTTTAATCCCCAAAGATCCAAAGTACACAATCCATTAGACCACAAGAATGTCATTTTCCAATTGCTTAGATTGCCCATAATAAGATAGAGCGTGTCTACATAGATTAACGAGGTACAATGAACTGATAACTAGTTCCACCATCTTGAATTGGCCCAAGTCATACAGAGACAGAATGGACTTTTACATAAGTTATAGAACAAACAAAAAGAATGGCCCCTTTTCCTCGTATTCCAACAACTTGTGATTGTTCCAAAAGACCACTTACAGATGAAACTGAACACACTGCTGACTTTACAATCAAGATCACCAAAAGAAGTTCAGGCATGTCAAATGTAAAAAGTTTTTACTTACAAATAATAAGTCACAATTCAGACTGCAAATAAGAGATAAAGCAAAGTCAAAGTATCTTGAGGTAAGTGAAGATCCAAATTCAGGTCTAGCTGCAACATCCTCCAGGTTGAGAAACACCGCCGTCTCTGCCTCCTGATGGACCAGGAATTCCACCGTATCCCACTTTTATTCCATAAGACTGCAATAGACGACCCGAACATACTTTAGAAAATTGTAAACAATGCTAGCCGCATTCTAGTATCTAAACCCTGATCAATTTGGTCAATAAAACAAATACTTGATGCAACCATCTGCTAATATGGACTCAACCAATACAACGGTAATCCTAATTAAAAAGGCGACCATTACGAATGGGTATTACTATAAAAAACAATGACCTAATTATCTTGTCCTATATTCTCACTTTAAAACGAGTGCCTGGAAAAAGCACATTCTTATAGAGAAAATGACTGTCTTTGGAGATTGATCTCTTTATGGAATTTATTGCAAAATGACCATGACAAGAATCGCATAACGAAGCACAGCCATGCAAGACTCAAAAGAAGTCATTAATTAATTTGCATTAATAAGGAACAACCACTTTTGCAAACACGTTCTTGTATTATTTTCTACAATTTGCAGACAAAAAATCGATAGTAAGCTTCGAAGATTCTGAGCAATCAATAGTACTGACATGAAATCACAAAGTACGTATTCAGCAGAAAGGAAAAGCGAAATAATGAATAGTATGTCTCTTCTAGTTCTTTTGACCTAATCATATCTTAAAGAATAACTTAATTCTAAGGGTAATTGCAAGAAGACATGATCACCTACAACAAAAGACCACATGCAAAATCGGAACTAATCTCAAACTTAATTATAAGCAAATTGAAAAAAAAAAAGGACTTAATCATGATATTAGAATATCTTTGTACTATTCTCTGATCCCAAACACCTAACATGCATCATATAATCCCATATCTGAAGAAAATATATATCACAAATGCCAAAACCCAGAACTGACCTCATTTGACACATCAAATACTCCATCCTGAATTTTCTTATATATAGTCGCAGCTGTCTTGATAAATGCCTGTCAGGAAAACTTCTTCCATCAGATAAGGTAAATCCAAGGAAAACTATGAGGGCCAAGAAGTAATTGTACTACAAGAAATCTTCATCTTAAAGCGTAGATTCGTCACCTCTTCCACATTCTGAGCAGTCTTTGCCGAAGCCTCCATGAAGATTAAACCATGCTCTTTCGCAAATTGCTCCCCTTCCTCCGTGCTTACGGCCCTTCTATGAGCGAGATCACACTTATTGCCAATGAGCATAATAGTCATGTTTGCGTTTGCATGCTGCCTTGCGTCTTCTAGCCAGCTAGCCAGATGATTAAAAGTTTCTCTCCTAGAAAAAGGAAAAGCCAATCATGTAAAATCTGAATTGAACACTTGTGAAAGTTTGAGGGACCACTGCTATTTAAAAGTTTAAACTATAGATGAGGCGTGGTTTTGTATTCAAATATCCTAACACTTCCCCTCATGAGTAGGCTGGAAAAAAGGGCCGGGAAAGATTTGAATTCAAGAGTCGTGCTCTGTACCTTGTAAAATTTTGTCGGACCACTGTAAACTATTCTAAAAAGTTAAGCCGTAGATAAAATTCAAATATTCTAACAAACACCATATCTGCACATTAAACCATCAAGACCAGACTTGGTCTATGTAGCAACTTTCAAATGCAACAACAGCAACAAGTGAATACTGTTCTTTCCAGACTGACAAATGGAGACACCTGATTGGACAACATCAGCTACTCAGTTTAAGGATTAAAAAGAAGCCTCTGAATCCAAAAGCAAACCACCTCATGATAGAAACAACATATACAACAGCAGGGAAAAATGTACCTTGTAATATCATAAACAAGCAATGCACCAGCAGCCCCTCTGTAGTAAGACCTAGTGATGGATCTGAAGGATTCTTGACCAGCCTGGGATAAATAACACAAACTTCAGCTTCAAAAAGTGTCGCAAAGAACAAGAGAATTGTCATTTTTAAACTACTACATACCAATGCTCCAAACCAGCTTTCTAATATACTAAGAAAAGACTCATAAAGCTAAGGATGTCCAATGTAGATAGGGCTTTCGGTAACACAAGTTCGAGGAGAGAACACAAACCGTGTCCCAAATCTGAAGCTTTATTGGTTTGTTGTCGATGGTGATCATCCTGGCCCCAAATTCAACACCAATTGTCAAGTCATGCACCGGCTGGAACCTCTTGTCGGTAAATTGGAGGAGGAGGCATGATTTTCCAACTCCTACAGAGGAAGAGCAGCCAAGCTCACATCACACTCGTTGCATCCGATTCTAAAATACACCAGATAGCTCATCCCAAGCTCACAATAACAGTACCAATTTCGATAAAACCCAAAACTAAAAATCCAAAATTTAGAACTCGGGCAACTCCTTTTCCAGATTAATGCATCGGAGGCGCCATAAAAAAAGCTCGTTCAAGCCTCGCACGCAACAAACACATCGAAAAAGCAAGTCGGGACAACGCAATTCCAATAACGAATTACACAACCCGAACCGTAAGCTCCTCGAAAAAGATCAAACTTCCGAATCGACAAACCAAGGACGGTGATCAACAGCTAATTTCCCAACACAACCCGCCGCCATCGAAAAGGGTGTCGGAATCGAAGCTGCCCAACATCGAAAACCAATTGGGCAATTCAGGAAGAGTACCTGTATCGCCGATGATGATGTACTTGAAGAGGTAAGCGTACGACATCCTCCGATCGAACTGGACACCACAGACCAAAAAGATTCGATCTAAGCGAAGACCCACCGAGGAAATCGGGCAGAAACCGATCGAAAATCTCAAAAGGAGGGAGCTTTCGGCCTTCACAGGGGAAAGAAGAAGGGGAGGGGGAGGAAGAGAGTCCAAGGAGTGTCCTTTGCGTCCGCGTCTATGCGATCCAGCAGGGGAGGGGAAAAGGGTAATGTCGTCACGCAGCCCCTCGAGCGCGTCGTCGTCTTCGCGGGGTGCGTGCACAAGTATGCGGATGCGTACGTGTACAGGTCTCGAGATCCATAAAAAGGCCAACGTCGTGACCCTCCCATCCAGGGCATTGTCGATCTGGTTCTTGGCTGTCGGTTTTTTTTTTTTTAGCTTCGACTTCCTCAGTGCCTAAATCGAGCGCATTCCTGAAACATTCGTGTTGTGTTCCGGGGACCAGTCAATGGTTGGAAAGATTCGTGTTTTTAGTGGCCAAAGCGAGATCCAACCTCATTATAATGTGATTGATGCCATGTCTTTGATTCTTGGCCTTGGTTGGCTTGAGTCCACAACTGCCAAAAAAAGAGGAAATAAAAAGAACAAAGAATAGTTGGAAGAGAAAATTTTAATTTGCTAAAATTCGAAATGAACCTATCGACATGAGACCCTTTTGAGACCCTTTTTTGGGCGGTCGTACTTAATATCCTCGTGCATTCAAAGGCTTTTAAAACACTTTTATATTTAACCTAATCTAGGAATACTTGTTTCTTATGATTTTTTTTAAATTATCTTGCTAAAACATTTTATGCAATACAAAGCTAGTGAAAATTTTTTATAATTTTTTTAAAATTGAGGTTAGTTTGTTTTACGAAAAATACGACATTTCTAAAAAATATTTTCCATAAAGTCATTATCCAAGAGAAATAAAAAAAAATTAATAATTTTTTTATTTTTTAAATCAATTTTTAAATTTTAATTATTTTTATTTTTATTTTTATTTTTTCTTTTTCCTTTATTTTTAGGCGTAATTTCCCATAGTGCGATATAATGCGCACATCTATATAAAAAAAATTATCATTACCTTTTTGTAGCGTTGTAGAGTTTCTTCGACTGTGTGCTCCCTTTATAAATTTTCAATTTGGATCGTTTCCCATCCAAATTTCTCTTCCTGTCGGCATTTTCACAATGTCTTGGATATATTTTAGGATATTAAAACATGTCGTCGTGATTAAGTACAAAAATACCGCGGTACATAAAATTATTTTACGGTGTTTGGACGATTCCATCGTTTATTAACTGTAGCGTAAAGTTTCTTCGATCTGTGTGCTCCCAAACAGGCACACATCCAATCCAAGCACGTGTCGGCTTCCCGCGGATCCTCTTCAACTTCAAACTTCAAGAACTCTCGAAACTCCCCGAATCCTCTGCAACTCTCTTTGCTCGCGTCACCTCACCGTCGTCTCCGCCGCCGCAAAATGGCGGCGACGTGCCCGGAAGCCACTGACCTCACCGCCTCTTCCTACACGCAGCCGCCGGGGGAGCAGCAGCAGCAGCGGCGGCGGCAAGATCAATCGCTGGACACCTTCTCGTTCGCTCCGGTGAGCCTCCAAAGACTCCCCCACCTCGCCGACTACCTCCCGGACCTCCGGACTCTGCCCAACCCGCTCGACAGCAACCACTTCTTCCATCCGGTGGACGGCTTCTACGTCTCCCCCGGCGACGTCATCCTCCGTCAGATCGTCTATGATCTCTCCGGTACTCCTTAGTCTTCGTAACGTGTGAAAGGTCTCTTTTTTTCATGTGGGCAGTGCATGATTACTGGTTTCTTGAATCCTGGTCATATGTTAGTTGGTGATTCTCATGAAATTCAGCTAACATTTAGCAGTCGTATTCTGTTATCTAGTATGATGTTGCTGTCTAAGCTAGTAAATTAATATTTTGAGCTCGTGGAATGGATATTTTGATGGGTGCCTTCCAAATTTGTGAAAATCGTGACACCATCCGTTAATAGTCTGTTGATTGGAGCTTTTGGGCGTGTAATCTTTTGGGGACAGGTATGTTCCCTCCGCCGGCGCCACACCTGGCCTACCACAGGGCAGGCCCGCGCGAGCGCGTGTTCTTCGAGCCCTCTGAAGTACGGGCGGCCATCGTCACATGCGGAGGGCTGTGCCCGGGGCTGAACACGGTGATCAGAGAGCTTGTGGTGGGGCTGTGGGAGTTGTATGACGTTCGCGAGATATATGGGATTACGGCAGGGTACAGAGGGTTTTACTCAAGGGAGCCAGTGAAGTTGAGTCCCAAGATGGTGCACGGGTGGCACAAGATGGGCGGCACAGCCCTCGAGACATCAAGGGGTGGCTTTGATCTCGAAAAGATTGTCAATGCTATTGAAGAGAAGGGGTTTAATCAGGTTTGTATTTTAGGGATTCTCTTCTGTTTGTAGCATTGGCGATTAGATTGTGTGCGTGAGGTTAGTTTGCTTGTTTTCTAGTAAGTCGGTGGTGAACCAGATAGAGTGCAATCTTTGATTTCTCTTACATAGGATGCACTAATTTGCCATATCCTCCAATTAGTAGTGGAGTTCTGACTGGATTAGGTTTAATAATAGTGGAGTTCTGACTGGATCTGGTTTAATATTAAATTTTACCTTAACTTTTCGGCTGTGAAATGTCAATGGAGTTTGATTTACGACTGACTGTCCTTGTATTGCTGAAAGGTCAGTTGTTGTTGGTTGAAGTGGCTCTCTATTGGATGAGGTGGTGCTGGTCTTTGCCAATGATTTCATTTGGAGTCTTAGTTGTGTTGCCCATGCTTCCTAATAGTTTGTACATTTACTCAAGCTGGTCATTTTATTGTACAATGAGAGTTTTCAATTTCTGGGGCTGTCCCCTCCATGCAATTTGATCCAATGAAATCATGCCTGAACTCTGGGCTTAACCCTATTAACATGGGACATACTAGTTGACAACACTTTATCTTTGGGAAATTTGGTTGCAGAGTTGGTTTTAAATTGAACTTCTGCTAATAGACAATTTCCACGTGGTTCATTTTATCGAAAACCCAGAATTGCTTGATGAACTTTTAACTTTTCTTAATAAGAACCTGAGCTGAAAGGAGGAATTTCTTACTGTTTCTGAAATTCAGTAAGCCAAAAATACGTCATTTAAAGTCTGATTTCTTAGCATACTTGTAAATATGTATCGACTTAAAATTTTTGTTGTGAGTCCCGCATTTTCCTTTCCTACTGCATCAAATAGATTTTCGGTTTTCTCTGGATAGCTTAACTTATTATGTTCATCTGAAGTTTGTGCTGTATTACCAAAGTGGCATTCAGTAAGCTATCTCTAGAAAACCAGTCTGAAGAACTTTAGCAAGTACATGTGCGCTTTTCTCTCTGTCATGACGTTGAGTTTTTGACTAGCCAAAGAAGATTGGGGTGATTTTTGTCATAGAGCACAGGGACAGAGTCTTGAGTATTCTTCGTTATTTAGGGAGTTTTCGTTTGCAATTGTCAAGTTTGAAACTGTGATCTTATCTGGGACTTGCTTTAGGTATGAGGTGAATAAGAGAATGGTGTAATTATGGGGAAAATGACCTTATTCTCGAGACTTGCTTGAGGAGCAAAGCGAGCACAATAATGGGGGTAATTACAGATATGCGGACCAAGTACTAGTCGGCACACCTTTATTAACATATTGTGAGAATGTTGTTTCCAAAATGTTGGAGCTGATAAGGTCAGGTAAGATGTTCAAAAAGGAGAACTTGTCTGAAGTGGAGAGAGAGAGAGAGGACCAAGTACTAGTCGGCACACCTTTATTAACATATTGCGAGAATGTTGTTTCCAAAATGTTTGGACCTGATAAGCTGAGGTAAGATGTTCAAAAAGGAGAACTTGTCCGAAGCGAGCGAGGAGAGAGAGAGAGAGAGAGAGAGAGAGAGAGAGAGAGAGAGAGAAGAGAAGAAGTTTATTGGTCTTCAAGAACTTGACCATTCAAGTCCAATATTAAATACTGTGGACTTAGGCCATGGATCCCAAATTGGTTATTATAATGTGCATATTTTTGTTGGGTCCTTTTCTGCCTTCACCATTCTAGTTTTTAAGATTGCTGCTAATTGTGTTTTGTTTGTTCAATAACTAATTTTAGTAGAGTGCAGGTATACATCATTGGCGGCGATGGCACAATGAGGGGCGCAGTAAAGATATTTGAGGAAATAAGTCGCCGAAAATTAAAAATTACAGTAGTTGGAATTCCCAAAACTGTTGATAACGACATTGGCATTATTGATAGATCATTTGGCTTCCAGACGGCGGTCGAAATGGCGCAACAAGCAATCAATGCTGCGCATGTGGAGGCTGAAAGTGCAGTTAATGGAATTGGGCTAGTGAAACTGATGGGACGAAGCACGGGCCACATTGCTCTTCATGCAACGCTCAGTAATCGTGATGTCGACTGCTGCTTGATTCCTGAAGTCGAGTTCTTCTTGGAAGGGAAAGGAGGACTGCTTGAGTTTCTTGACTGGAGATTGAAAGAGAATGGGCATGCAGTGCTGGTGGTTGCTGAGGGCGCAGGACAGGATCTTATACCGCGAACTGCATCACAGAAGGAAGAGCGGGATGAATCAGGAAATCTCGTGTTCTTGGATGTCGGTGGGTGGTTGAAGTCAGAGCTGAAGAAATGGTGGGACCGGGATCACCCGAACGAGCTGTTCACAGTCAAGTACATCGATCCTACTTATATGATCCGGGCAGTCCCGGCGAATGCCACAGACAATCTGTACTGCACTCTTTTGGCTCACTCAGCTATTCACGGAGTCATGGCAGGTTATACTGGCTTCGTCTGTGGTCCTATTAACGGCAACTACGCGTATATACCTCTCGACGAGGTGGCCAAGGCCAAGAATGAGGTCAACACGCAGGACCATAAATGGGCATGGGTCAGGTCGGTAACCAATCAGCCCGATTTTTTGAGGAGCTAGATGTCTAATACCAAATTTTGCGGCGCTTTTCATATGAGCATCCTATGGTACCATCAGCTTCACATCCCTGGGATTCGGAATGCTGTAGTTGCCTGATGGTAGTAAATAAAGCGCTGATTGATGTGCTTTTGAATCACTGGAACTGCACATATTTTTTACTAGAACAAGAACTTGGAAACGCAAATTAGCTGATATATCTTTTATGTTTTTCAATACTGTCTTACATTTGATGGTTATGAAATTGATGTCGGTCATTGATTTTCCCTCTCTCTACTCTCTTTGTTGTTTGACAAAGTTAAGGTGCAACTATTTGTGGATAATCATGTGTTTCTTCTTTGGTCTTTTGCTTTATAATGTGGAAATAGAATATGGGCCCGGATGTCTCATCTGGCCTTGGGTATCTTTGCAAAACCGTAAAGTGAAAGATGCATGATAAGCACTGAAGATGTGATGGGCACGTGTGCAACGTAAGATATTATTGTTTAAGCAAAAGCCCTTGACAAGGCACGAGTGAATCTTTTGTTTCCTGCCCTTTGAAAATGGCAGAAAAAAATTGAAAAGTTTCAGACAAGCTCTTATTTGGGTCAATAAATAGCCAATGTATGTTTGTTTTGGGAGAGAATCGGCGATGGTTTCGTGGTTCTCTTTTCAAAAAGTAAAAGATGAGAATGAGAATTGCAACTTTTGTGAATGCCTTTCCCTAAAGCTAGAAAACCTTAACAGCAATATAAAGGTAAAGTCTCCAGGGGAACGACTGCCCACAGATAGATTAAAGAAAAGGCAAAAAAAACTCAATGAAGCGAACTCATGGAATCATATGAGTTGAGCTTGGAATGTTACAACTGTCTTGGTCTGCTTCATTACATGTGAATGTTGTCGGTTGCAAATCACATGAGTTGAGCATATGTTCTGAGGGAATTCTTGTCAGCTTTCATCTGATGTTTGAAATGGGAATAAGTCCCACACGATGTGCACTGGTTGGAGCTCATTCTCCGGGGGTGTGTTTCTCTTTAATCATTCAGCAGATTCCAAACAAGGTACAATGGCATGGTTTAATCGGGCTCGTGGATTTGGCCTAGTGTGCCAAAACTTAATTCATGATATCACATGATTGCTTCAAATGAAGAATTGTCACTTGTTGATAAGTCTTTACTCCACTGCAACAGACAATAATTGATCAGAATTGTATATGTAGCTGATCGAAAAGAGATTTGAATTTGTATTTTGAACAACTTAGGAATTTTGTTTGTATGATGATTTTTAGGATAATGTTACCGTCCGTCCCTGTAATTGTATGACGATTGTTTTGTCTTTTCTTGTTCAAATTAGTCATTTTGTTAAATAAATTTAGCGTGGCCCATAAGTGGTGATGTGATGCTAATGTGATATTCTATATTGGTTTTTACAATTTAAAAAAATAAAAATAATGTATAGCATAGAATGAATATATTGAAGTATAGAAAAAGAATATAAAGAAAGTTAAAAAAAAAATAGACTATCGACCCTATAAGCACCAACGCCACTTTCCGCGGCCGATGGCCACAGTTTGGTGGCGGCTGGGCCTGAGTCGGCCCTAGTGAAGGCTTTTCGAGGTCGCCAGCAAAAAAAAAAAAGCATCAATGTTTTCGTTTGCATTTTTTACGGAAGACTAACTTGAATAAAAAAAAAAAAGTGTGGTCCGGGGGTCATGTTGCCCAAAAAAAAATACAGAGACGAGATTGAACAAATAAGACCGGTATGGGCGGACATAATATTATTTTGCCGGGAATCGAACGGTGATTCTTGAAATACTCATCAGAAAAGGCTCATGAAAGAAAAGAACTCAGGTCAATCACAAGATAGTTATGTCCCTATGCCTGTACTGGTTTGTGTGCAGAGAAGTTTGAATTTTTCAGGGCTAAGCTGTCGAAAGATCAATGGCAGAACTGGGGCAAAGAGTATAATTTTTCCCTTTCCTATTTAAAAGTACGCATCGAGATCGAGATGGCTCGGACAGAAAGTCTCATCTTCACGTGAAAGTCGGTTTGTGCTATTAAAAACTGCTCAAGTAAGGACAGACATCAGGGCATCCTAACCAAATTTAGGTTTTATCAGGCGTCCTTCGTTGGTGTCTGTAGCCACACACGACCTTTGCAAAGGCTAACTAGTTATCGGGGAAACTTCAGAGAAACCATTAATCTCTCTTATTAACAATTTAACATTCTCAGTTCGTTTTCCGGCACTCCTGACTCAGGTTTCCTGCAAATGAGGGAGTATCATTTCAACAGCTAGGAACAAAGCTTCATGTGGAATACACTCACAAATGCTATCGATGGCACCTGATTATGGGGTTAAAGGTTAAATGAAACACCGACAGGTCATGAGCTTCTAGAGATTATAGATACGTTGTGCCATGATCTTAGGTGTTCGGTCACATCATTTGCAGAAAGACCCCACCTCCATCCGCCAAATAAAGACAGAAGAATGGATTTCTTTTTTCTCTCTCTGTCAAACTAATCATGGTTTCTTCCTTCTTGAAAATGGGCAAGAAAGAAGAGGGCCCCGGCAAGATTACCAAGCGACTGATAATCTCCACTTGCCACGCACTAATGAGCAGCTTAAAAGAATACAAGAAATGAACAAAAATCCTCTCGGGTCACTGGCTGGTTCTCATACTTTTCTTTTTCTTTTGGCACTTCCCTTTTAAGAACCGGTTACACACCCTGCTGCTGCTCCTTGGCAGCTCCAATGTGAATCAACCCACCGCCGCCTTGCCCCTACAGAGCACTAAAAATCACTCCTTTATCCAAATCGAGACTCCCCCATCTCTCACCTTAATGACCAATCTTGAAACCCGGAAATGTTGCAACCCATAACCAAAGTTGCAATCTTTTCGCTCTTCTTGGTGCTCTCGTCCTCGCCCCCGGTCACGGAATCCGCCATTGGAGTGAACTGGGGCACCATCTCCTTCCACAGGCTGAGGCCATCCACGGTGGTGGATCTCTTGCAGCAGAACAAGGTACAGAAGGTGAAGCTGTTCGATGCGGACCCAGGTGCGCTCAGGGCTCTTGAAGGGAGTGGGATTGAGGTGATGGTGGGGATACCCAATGAGATGCTGGCCGTGTTGGGCTCTTCGAGTGTTGCCTCTGATCTCTGGGTTCGCCAGAATGTGTCTAGCTTTGTGGGTAAAGGCGGTGTTGCCATCAGGTATGATGCAACAAGTTCTTGTTTTTGCCTTTTTTTCCTTTGTTTGGGGTTTGGTTTGTGTATGATTGATTGATTGATTGTTTGATTGAGAGCTAAGTGTCTTTCCTTGTCGGATAATGATCTTGGTTGTTAGATGAATCTAAAGCGAGCTAGTGAGATTGTGTTGGACACTTTTTAGAAGTGGAAGAGTGGAGATACAGCCTTTTTTTTGTTTTTCCTGGAATTCCCTCCTTCACATTAAATTTGAAGTAGTGAGATTAACTTAATTGTGGCACCTTTCCATTGAATCGTCCCAATTTGCGTGCTGTTGTTTAGTTAGTGCCTTGCAGGTTGAATTTTCTGGGTCCGGATTCTTCAATCCTCTTGTTATATTTTTTTAGAGCATCAGTGTTTAAGTCATTGGTTTGAGATAGTGGGAGTTGGTTGTATGGACGATTATAGTCTTACACATAGTGGAGGATCTCTGCTCATATCAATGTCGAGGGTGAGAGCGAAGTTTATGGCTTGGTCAAACCTGTCTGTGGTAATCAGAAGGACCAAAACGAGTCTAGACTTGATGTTTCTTTAGTATATCTAGCAATGGAAGATATATGCGTAATTGTTAACTCCTAAGGCCCTGCCACTGTCCTTTCCTGCTTAAATATCATTATGCCTGCTTCCCAAGAACTTTCTTCATTCTGCATCTGTGGGTTACAACATGGCAATGAACTTTAACGTGTTGATGTGTGGATTCAATTTTTCTTGACTATCAAATGACAAAATGACAGGTATGTCGCGGTAGGCAATGAGCCCTTCCTCTCAAGCTATGCGGGTCAATTTCAGAACTATGTTATGCCAGCCCTGCTCAATCTACAACAGTCATTGGCCAAAGCAAATCTTGCTGGCTACGTCAAGCTAGTGGTCCCTTGCAATGCCGATGCATATGAAGCGGACCTTCCTTCTCAAGGGGCATTTCGTCCTGAACTTACACAAATCTTGACGCAACTCGTCTCTTTCCTGAATTCGAATGGTTCCCCTTTCGTAGTGAACATTTATCCGTTCCTAAGCCTGTATGGGAGCTCGGATTTTCCTCAAGACTATGCATTTTTTGAGGGAACTACTCATGCTGTGACAGATGGGGCCAATGTATACACTAATGCATTCGATGGGAATTTTGACACGCTAGTTGCAGCACTTACTAAATTAGGTTATGGACAGATGCCCATAGTCATTGGGGAGGTGGGTTGGCCAACGGACGGAGCTTTGAGTGCGAATCTCACCGCTGCTCGGGCATTTAATCAAGGCCTTATTAATCATGTACTTAGCAACAGTGGAACTCCGTTGAGACCTGGAGTCCCTCCAATGGATGTGTATCTTTTCAGTCTAGTCGACGAAGGTGCCAAGAGTGTGCTTCCAGGAAACTTTGAGAGGCACTGGGGAATTTTCTCTTTTGATGGCCAGGCTAAATATGCCTTGAACCTCCGTATGGGCAACAGGTTGCTAAAAAATGCGAGGAGCGTGCAATATCTCCCGTCTAGGTGGTGCGTGGCTGACCCATCAAAGGATCTCTCCACCGTTGCGAATCACATGAAGCTTGCTTGTAGTATTGCGGATTGCACTACGCTCAACTACGGTGGATCATGCAATGGTATTGGAGCAAAGGGAAATATCTCGTATGCATTCAACAGTTATTATCAAGTGCAGATGCAGAATTCACAGAGCTGCGATTTCGATGGGCTTGGGATGGTTACTTTCCTGGATCCGTCGGTAGGTGAATGTAGGTTTCTGGTCGGTGTAACTGATATTACTTCTGCTGCTGTTGGGACATATTGGAGAGGGGTCATGGTTTGGGTTTTGATTTTGTGGAGTGTCTGGGTGTTTGAAGTGTGAAGTTTCTTACTTGGGGTTTTTGTTGCTCCCCTCTTCTGAAAGTGAAACCGATAGTCATAGAAGTCAGGTCGCTATACTTAGACATACTCAGGATTACCCTAGTATATGTAGACTCTTCGTAATTGTCACAGAGAGTGAAGTTATGTAGTGAGATGAGAACCATTGATTCTTAAATTAACATTGGCATGGTATATCTTATGATTATTGCTCGAACATCGTGCTTTCAATAAAAAGAACGTCTCCATGCGTGAAAATTGTGGAGTGATTGCACAATGCAGTAAGATTCAATGTAAAATTATGGGTTGATTGCATTCAGCCTTTCGTGCCAAAAAGAACCTGTAAGCAAGTAGATGATGCTGTAGAAAGTTTGGAGGGAGACATAAACAAGCTAGAAGAGAGGTAGAATTTACATCAACGGCTACAAGCAAACAAAGAGCAAAGAACCGAAAACAGAACCCGTTACAACAAACACCAAAAGTCAACTACATGTCCGCAAAGGCTCACATACTCGAAGAGAACCGTACCAGAGCCAAAAATCCACCAGTAAATTGCGGCCCGCATCTATCGCCTTGTCCATCTTCTTGGTTTCGATGTTCAGTCATAAAGCTTTATCCTGGTAGTTATGAATGTGCGGCAGATTGGGCACGAGGCCAAGTCCGTTCCGCATTCGTAGCATGTCTGCAAAAGTCACACTGAGGGGTTACGGATCCCGTAGAGATGTAACAGCAAATAAATCTGGTGTTCTTTTGAGTTTACCTGATGCCCACATCCAAATGCAAGATCCTTCTTACTCCACAAGCACACGGGACAATTCTGAAAAACAAGAAAAAAAGAACCACCGAGGTTTACAAGTGATCCAAGACTTGTGTTACCCTCTATCAAGGATTAACGAACGGGACATCATATGAAAGTACATCAAGCGTTTGAACATTCATTTCTGTATCGGTCCTGACATTTACTTTGAGTTGAGCTCCGCATTTGAGGAAAAAAAGTTACCTTGTGAGAAGGACCTTCAGTAGGAGGAGTAGAAGTGTAAGAAAAACCACTTCTGTGTTCGTTAGTGCTTGAGGGCATGCGCTTCGGGTAAGATTTTGCGGAACGGATCTGCTTTGGTGGAGGGAGAGGAAACCTTCCCGAAGTTCCTCTTCGACATCTGAAATTACAAATACAAATCCTATAGTTATGAATTGCTAATTTAAACTACACTTCAAAGTGTACGCTCAATCGTTACCCAAGAAGTTGGAGATCGAGTGTAGCTTGGTATTGTGTTGGTATTTCCATCAACGCCGCGAGGGCAAACTCTGCCTCCTTCTTGGATGCGGGCATGCACTTCGACATGATGTCGGTGAAATTTACAAACTACAAGGCAGAAAAGAGTCGGGTCACAACGAGTCAAAGTATTATACGAGCAAGTTCTATAATCATTGTAGCTCGGTCTGTCAACCTGAAAGTTGTCAAAAGCTCGGTAAGGGATGTTGTCGTCAAACTTGTGCATCATATCCCACGGTCCATCCCCGACTCCGACCAACACGATGGACAATGGATACTCGCTGAAAGAATGGAAACGTGCGTTCAGGATTGTGATTTGTGCAGTAGATGCATCAGATCTAGTAAAATGGAAGGTCATGCAATATCAAAACCTTGCTTTCACGATAGCCTCTATTGTCTTCTGTTCTTGGGGGCTCAAATGGCCAGGACCCGTGTCAACGCTTCTTGTGACCTTGCAAATGAAGTTAAACCAAATCATTAAGGTCGAGAAATTCATCATATGTGAAAGGCACAAAGTAAAGGGCTGCAGTTACTGCATAAACAAGAGCTCTTTATAAACTGACCTGTCCATCAGCGATGATCACAAGGACATGATACTGTCCGCCACTGCTATTTACGATTTCAATGGCATTGTCAATAATGGGAGCAAATGATGTCGGTCCTGTTATTTTGGAAAACATAGGTACTTAGTCATTTCCACAGTTCCATAAGCAAAATTTGCAACACATGAGGGCGAAAAGTTTGAAACTAACCAGACAAGTTTACGTCCGGAACTAGATCTCTGTAACGGGAAAGAACTTCCTCAAAGCCCTCACATAATCTATCGTCGGGATAAAAGCTGAAGACTTCCTGATCATGCGTTGTAGCTGCAAAACCAATGGAATTAGCAACTCTTCTAGGTAGTGATACCTCTAATAACAACATCCACAAGTACTGACCATCGCCAAAACCAAAACAAGGAATGAGATTGTCTTCATCGAAACTCGAGAGCGTCCTCCCAATTATAGATATTGCCTGTTCATACGGATTAGGGGTATCCCCAAGGTGATGTAGGCTCTTGCGGTTGAAAGATCGCGCACCTGTCCATTCATTGCTTTTTGTGAAATCGATACCCACAATAAGATTGGAAGACTCGAGGCCAGCTTGAGCAAGAGCATTTGTGACCTGCATTTCCACATTTATTCAGAGAATTTAAGCTTGATCCTAGTGGTTTATAATATTTGGAATAGCTCAGACTGTAAATGCAAAGCATTTTCACCTTATTCAGTGAATTAAGCTTGAACCTAGTGTTTTTTATTTTGCAAATGGCAAATAAGCATGAAAAGTAAAACCTACAGTTGAGCACCTGTTCCAGCGAGTTGTAATCATCACCGATTCTGGAGTATTTTGACTGCACCTTGCCTTTTCTTTCATGATTATAGTAATTCTCGGAAAATGAAGAGCGATTAGACGAGCTTCGAAATGATTGGGAGTCATAACTGCGGGAATCAAAGTAGCTGCTGCTGGTACTTCTCGATTCTTTATTCCCCATATTCACGTCCCTCCTTTCTCAGTTGTCAATTGCCTTGCTTCCACCGAAGATTACACGCCTTACACCACTAATCCGCTACCGGAAAGTGTTCTGAAACCAGCAATACCATCAAAGTTATAAGCATGTCAAGTACGCAGCCCAATAGTTCTTGGATTCACCGATCTTTCATGATATAAATTTCTAAGTTTCAAGTAAATAAAACATTGTCGCAACATGTAGTAGTATGAACTCATTGGCTTGATAAAACCACAGACACAACATATGCAGATAACTATCAAACAAGGCGTTTCATTGTACAGTTTCCTAACCACACCACTTTTAAAAAATTACAATGGATTGTGCATAACTTGAAGGTATATAAGCTGCAAAATTGCTACCATCCACTTCTACCAGTAGCGCAGTGACTTGAGAAACATGCAAAAACAGCTGAAACAAATTCTAAATTCAACCAAATTCTGTCACCATTCTCCATGAAAATTGTGATTCTTTCTCAGAAACACGCAGAGACTTTATGATTGGATTCCAGCCAATTCAGCAATAGATATAAACCGAGAGAGACAAACTAAAACCAGAGATCATGTCATAATTCTCTGGACATCATAGACAACAGAAATAGATTGTATTTACCTCAATTGCAGTGAAAACAAAAGAAAAGAAAGAAAAGGCTGTCGCAATCACAAGGTCTCAGAACGAATGCTCTGCAGGAAAGAAGCGGTTTTCATCCAAAATATATAGGGACAGAGGAGTGTTGAACTGTTGATAAAATACAAAGTCAATGCCTTGCATCAAGAAATAAAATTAAGGCAAAACGAAGGGGTTGAAGCTTCAAAACTGATGGGGAGCGCAACTTGAGCTGATCAGTTCTTCACGGAAATTACGGATGACAACAACCCTCCACCTAAAAGCTGTGGTCATATTATTATTAACCCATTTCTTGGGAAAAACCAGTGAAGTCACCCAATAAAAGTCAAACCCACGACTCTTAAAAGCTCTGTACTTCCCAAGCAACTTCCCTGTAAACTTCCCAGAAAAAACACAAGATTGGAAAAAAGCTGCAAACCCTCTTGTCACAACAATCATTACATGTTTTCTTAGTTGACCAAAAGGTTAATTAGGAACAGATAAGAAAGAAAAATTTCAAAAGCTAAATTCAATCCCATTATTAAAACATGGTGAGCCTCGACTGCATAAAATCTAACCTTTATTCCTCGAAGCACGCAGAAATCACCTCCCGCAGGTTGTTCTTCAGAGTTGCTGCTTACAATGAGGAAGACAAATTCAAAGCGGAGCCTTCCTCTCTCTGGACAAGGCGAATGGAGTTTCTTAATGGTCTAATATTCACTTTGTTTAAGATTATATACTACGAGTTTTCTTTGTTTTCTTCATCAACTCTCTCACCCTTTATCCTACGCAACAATCTTGATGTTTATCATATCAAAATGATTCTATAAAAAAATAAACAGCAAGTAAGACGCCACTAGGATCTTTTCTTGCGACTCTTCGAGGATTGTCGACATAACAAAATCCCCTGTCAGTCGCCGAAAAAAAAGCGGAAAAACAAGACCAGTTCCGATTCCCTTATGAGCTATTGCCACGTGGAAAATGTCAATTTCCTTGGGAGTGCGCGATAGTGGACTTTTCGTTCCATTTTTATATCGAAGTTTCGAAGGGTCGGTCGTCGCCATGACGATGGAGGCAGTGCGTCACTGGACTCATCATTTATATAATCTTTTGACAGACATGCTGCAGAGAAATTAATTGGGGAAGAAGAAAATTCTAGACAAGAGGTTGCCGTAGTCTATGGTTTCCAAGATGCAATCGGGCAAGAAAGACTAGCCACCAGACTTGCAGAAGGAAGTTCTACTTGTCGTCTTTAATTCAAGAAAGTTACAAAAGATAGGGTTGCTAAGAACAATCAAAGATGCATTATGTACTCCAAAGAAAAGGCGAAACTATAAAGTAGCCGGATAGTATATTTCCGCCTTATGTACATACCGTGCAAGGGTCAGGTTTTTTTTTTTTTTTTTTGGGTCGAAATGCGAGGGTTGTTCACACTCTATTGATGTACATAGAGAATAATGCTACCTCCATTAGAACTGGCTAATGTCATGACATTCAAAAGCAAAACCTTGGAGCAGCAGAGTTGTGCATGGCCATACGTAATTTGCGTAAGATTCTATGGTCGAGTCATTGGAAAAGTTGCCAAATTTACCATTATTGGTGTATTTTTGATTTTGTCGGATGAAGGGTAATTTTTAGAAATTTTAGCTGGAAAAGAATAAAAAAAGTCATAAGCTTATTACACTTGTGCCAATTCAGTATTAAACTTTTCAATTATATCAATTGAGTTCTAAACTTTTGATGATTTGCCAATGTAGTTCATCCGATCAATTTTTGCTGGAAAATCGTTGGCATGGACGCCGGCTGTCTTACATCACATGACCGCCCTGACGTGGGCAAATTTTACTAATTTTTATTATTTATTATTTTCTTTTTATTTTCATTGTGATTGGCGAAGGTCACCGGTGCCCAGGTGAGCCCTTGCTAGATCCGATGAGGGCGGCCCTTACTCGGCTGCGATGGTCGAGCCCTCGCTAAACCCGGTGAGGGCAACCCTCATCCAGGCGGGGGCGAGGACCGCCCAGGCCATGAGGGTCAAGCACTCACCTAATACCGTGTGAGGAGCACTAGTGTGGTGGGGTAAGGTGATCATTAAAGCCGAAGAGCCCTTGCCACTTGAACACCGACTTTTCGGGAGAACGACTTTTGAGCAGGAAATAGGTTCATCTTACCTCTCGGTGCTGTCTCTTTTATTTTCCTTTTCTGTTTTTTGGTTTTTTAATGTGAGGTGGGTCGCAAGTAGGGATTGGCAAAATGGAATTCGGTGTCTCTTTACTGTGAATAATTAACGCTGTGAGTAGTAAGAATGTGAGCCTGTGGGGTAGAGGTTCTTGTCTAATTGGGAGGAGTGGAATTCTCGTTTCCTTGTGTAAAATTCAAATCTATGATCTTCCATAGTAAAAACGATGTGATCTATGTGAAACTTGGTAGAGTTTTGACAATAATTGTGAGTTGGATGTGTTCGTTCTTTGGCTGTTGCTGTCAATAGTATCGTTCGTTTCCGGCCAAAACAAACTCCAAATAGGTTTCTCTTTGCATTCTACATCAAGTGAAATCTGTAAAGCAGAAGGAAAGTGTTGTTTTTTGTTTCTTTTGCTCTGGTATCTGAACAGTTTGGGATCTTGAACGCTTTCACCTGGAGTTTAGATGTTGTGATATGATATTTAAGGAACCTGTTCTTGCACTAATACCAATGCATCTAATCACTTGTTAGAACCCTTTAGCTTCTGGCCTTTGGATCCACTTTTTTAAATATCATTGCACGATACGATACTTGAGGCGAATGGAACTATATATATTTTTCTGAATATCATTACATCTTGGGATTCATAAGATAAATTAATAGCTGGAGAACAATCATGTGCAGCATTCTAAACCGTTACTGGACACATGGGATTGGCCTGCTAGAGGGAATACTCGATCTCTTGTGAAGGATGAAACATAGCTGTGTCTGTATACTGTCTTCCTCAAACTAAGTATATATATATATAAGAAGAAGTAGGCCAGTTCCTATTAGGTTCCTAAGCCAATTTTAGGGCAGATTCGGTTTCCAATTCCAAAAATTGAGGATCGGCTCTAACATGATAGATTCCATATTTCTAGTCTAGAACCTAACCACCTAGAATCCAATCACTCCTAAATGCTCTAATAGTTCATTTGCTTTTAATCTCAAACCAATTTCATTCTTTTACTCTACGTAACCTAGTATTGAACACCGGTGCTCAAAATTTCTCTACTAATGTAGGGTACCATCCACATTGGCAATTGTCCATAAAGATTGGGATAATTGTCTAAAAAGTTCATGAACCTATTGTGCGGCGATCAAGTTCATTATTAAACCTTTCAATTGTGCCAATTTAGTCCTAAATCTTTTAACGATTTGCCAATTTAGTCTTTCCAATCAATTTTGATCGGAAATAGCCGACGTGGATGTCGGCCGCCCTGCGTGGCATGGTGACGACCGGCACTGATGTAGACAAGTTTTGAAATTCTTTTTATTTTTTTCACACGCCCCCCTTTTACTTCCCTCTCCGGTGCCTTGCATATGGTTGATTGAGTTCAGGTCACGTTCCAGACATTGGAAAAATTGAGGCCGGGCCTCCTTTTGTATCCTATGGGTTTCGTTTTAATCGAAATGGGCCTTTAGCTAGCCCGCGCATTGATTAGAGTTTCAAGAGCCTAATTAGTAGGCTTATGAGCCTGGGTTAGAGATGATGGGCTTAGTGTGGAATGAGTGGATCAAGCTACTAGACCAGTTTTGAATGCGATGGCCGAATGGGTTTCGAAAATGGTTTTTGTTCTCTTTTCCTTTTCATTCTTTTGATCTTTCACTTTATTTTATTCAATTTTTATACACATTTGATTTATCGATTAAAAATCAGGTTTCGACAATCAGAATTCGTCATTGTTCCGATCGCCACAAGATCACTAGTTCGAGAAAGTAATTTAACTGATATCCCTCAAATGAGGTGCACTTCTGCGAAATTTGCTTAGCTGTTCTAGCGAGTTGTGATCATCACCAATTCTGGAGTGCCTTGACTGCACCTTGCCCTTTCTTTCATGATCATAGTAATTCTTGGAATGATAGTTACTTCTCGATTCTTTATTCCCCATGTTCACGTCCCGCCTTTCTCAGTTGTCAATAGCCTTGTTTCCACTGAAGATTACACCCTTCACGCTACTAATCCGCTACCAAAGAGTGTTCTGAAACCAACAATACTATCAAAATGAGAAAATTACTTGGAAAGTCCTAAATTTGTTGCATTTGTACCAATTCGATTTTAAACATGTTAATTGTATCTATTGAGTCCTCAATCTTTTGACAATTTGCCAATATAGTCTATCCGGTCAATTTTGGTTGGATAATGCTGACATGGACATCGACTGTCCGACGTGGCATAGATGATGCTGGTGTGGATAATTTTTATAATTTTTCCTGAGTTTTTTCTTTTTTTACAACTCTGGGCCAATGAGGACCGACTACCCTCATTTGGTTTGAGTGAGGACTTTGCGGCCCGCGTTGGCAATAGGCAAGGGCCTCTGCTCCCTTATCGACCACAAGTGAGGGCGTTGGGTCCTTGCCCAAATCCAAGTTAGGGCATTGCAAGCCCCTATCCTGCGGCCAGGGCATCGTGGTCCTCACCTAGATCAGGCTAGGGTGTTACAGCACTGACGAGAGCCTTGAGCCCTTGCCCGGATCCAAAAGAGGGTTGCAAACCTCGCCCAAACCTCTCCTGTGGCTGGCGAGGATTAGTTAGCGACCTCGCTAGCCCATAGTTGAGAAAAAAAAAAGAAAGGAAAGAAAAGAAAAACTAAAAATAAAAAAAATAAAAAAACACTTTAATATTAAAAAAATTGTAAAAATCGTTCACGTTAGCGCTGTTATGACATGTAAAACAGTCGACTTTCACATAGCGATTTTCTTCCTAAATTGCCCGAATTGATTACATTGACAAATCGTCAAAAGGAGGACTCAATTGGTACAATATTGTAAAAAAAAATTGATACAATAAAAATGTTTAGGATTGAATTATCACAAATACAATATGTTTAAAACCTTTTTGGTAATTTTCCCCATCATAATTACCAGCATGCCAAGTAAACAGCCCAATAGTTCTTTCACTGATCTTTCATGATTTCTTGAAGTTTGGTCGGTATCATTTCTTAAAGCGAGGAATTTTGATTGATTTTGCAGACACGATTCCAAATTCCAAGAGGATTGTGATGGATTTGCTTTATCCAATATCCGACACTTTAAAAACTCGAGGTCGAGCTTTTCTTTCCAATAATGGTAGAATGATGTGGGCACCTCAGGTTTGGATTTAGGTATTTTATCTGAGGAATTTAGGATTTTGAACTTTGATATTACCTTCTTTAATTAAGTTA